ATGTGAATAAATGGCAGAATCTTTAACTTTTCTTATTGAAAATCAGCCCTCTGATATGCATAACCATCTACTAAGCACAGTTTGCTGCATTGTCCCAAAAATACTCTAAAATGTGGTTTAAAATGAAGACTTAGCTATGGCTGAGAACAGTGAAAACAATGTAATTTCTGATTTTCTGTATTTCAGATTTGGTTAGTAAAATGTGTTCTTTCTTACTATATGCTAATGCAGATCCAAGGCATTTCAGAGTAATCTGGGTAACATAGAAATCTACATGTCCTTCTGCTCCCTCATGTTGCTTAATGAGATGAAAGCATGATCTGGCTTAAAATGGCAATTGTATATCATCATTGTGAGTTCACATATGAAAAGTTTAGTTTGCCACATCTAAGCAGGTGTTCTGTGATTAGAGTGATCAGTTATGTTGAGGTTTGGGTGAAAAGGGAGTAATGTGCAACCCAGGCCAGGTATGTTACCTGTGGGGCATCTGTTGCTTCTGCAAGTCAACTTGATAATGTGCTTTTCCTAAAAGAGACTTTTCACTTTCAGTATTTTTTTTTGGGGGGAGGGGAAGTGAAAATATAGTAGTTGAATAATAATAGTAATAATAGTGAAAATGTAATAGTTGAAGAGCCTTCTTTCTGTCTCTTACTGGTAGTATTGTTTTTGTTACTTCTCTTGTGTTTGAAGAGCAGCTCTCTAGTTCTTCCTGGATTGAAACTGTGGTTGATTGTTGACCAAAACATGTTGTTACCAAGAGAATGTGTGTAGAGAATTTTTGTTGAAACTGCATCTATGGCCATGAGGTGCCATGAAGCACTCTAGTTGTTTGATTCTTTCTGATCAATTCCGTAACCCTGTAAGCAGTAGAAAAGTGACCTGATGTGTGTTTTCTGACTAGGTTCTTTCATGTCTGGTGGGACGTGGCTCTGCCCCACCAAGCAGTTGGAGCACGTGTAGTAAGTGCTCACTGTTGTAGAGTCTCTATTGTCTACTGAGTCCCGACCTTTCTGGCACATGAATGTACCCAGACTGTGTTTGTGCAAGCTTCATTTCCCATGGAAACCAGGCCAGAAATTGTGTTTACAGCTTATTTTGGGCCATAGGAGGTAAAAGGCTGCAGAGGTGTTGAGAGCCAGGATGGCCAATTTGGCTTTCTGTATATCACAGCATGCATACTGTAATCAGAGGGTTTCTTCAACATTTCAAGGAAGGAGTATATAGAGAGTCTAATAAATTGTGGCTTTGCATTGTAATTTTGTGAATTTTCCTTTTGAATGGCTGTACTGAATCGGTTCCATTCATAAGTCAGGAGGTGATTTTTCAAACAGTCCTCATGCAAACTTCATGAGACAGAGAGTTTGACTTCTAAGTCACTTCTTTCCAGCAGCAGAATTGCTAATTAAAATTCTGTCATCTGTATGTAGCTGGTAGTTTAATTACTGATAGATGGTGAGAAATACAGTGTAGCTCATTTTCTGCCAGGATGGTGGTACCCCAACTTTGAGTGAACAGAGACAGTAGGTAAATGGCATGGGAAGGGCTCTGGTTCATGTGGCTTGGAAGAGGTGAATTTTCTTTGCCAGCTCAGTTGCAGACTATCACTTTCTCATCTGTATGTTGAAGATAGCTATGGTTACTCTGTTTTTGTGAACGTTTTGGAGAAATGTGCTATGTAGGAGCAAAGCATTTATTTTATTTGTTAATTAATCTCTTGTTCTGAGTAACAGAAATTAGTGTTTTCCCACGGGGTGGCATTATAAATCCCCTTACAGCATAAATGAGGACAGCCCCCATTTATTGTTTGTTATATGCTTAGACACTTCTTAAAATGAGGCACCACTTAAAAAGTGTAGAAAAACTTTAAAAATTTATTTAAAGAGATCATTGGAAAGGCACTGCAGTAACAGAGGTGAAACTATATGCATATACATATAAATATATAGATAGTGTTTAAACAGAGCTTGCAGTCAGCTGGTGAAAACTGCTTTCTGAGCTTCAGTTTTCATTTAATTGGGAACATAAACATATGAAAGTCAAGGATAGTAATTTGGTTTCAAAAGAAAGCTGCTTGAGACGAGCATCAGCCAGAGCTAACAGGAGCCATATGCTGGATGGTTTGTGTAAGCGATGTGGTCTTCCAAAAGAAAAAAAAAAAAGTAGGAGAAGCAGATTTGATTATCTTTTTTTTTTTTTTTTAAATGGATTTTCCTAAAAAAAGTTGTAGTCAACCTTCTGTTCAGAGGGCTAGGCAGTATTTATACACATAATTGATGTTAATATATTGAATCATAAACACAAGGAAATGTTGTGTTGTGCATCAGATAAGTTTGTTCACTTAACTATAACCACAGAGTGCTTGTAATTTCCCAGAGCCGCGGGATATTTAAGATGAAACCTGGCAAATTAGAGCCTCCCTGGATGAGGGACTTTTGACTTTCTATCACTGGGTCTACTGCTGGTGTTACCAATGTGTGTCAGCCTTTCTAAACCCAGAGTCACTAATTAGCTCCAGCGGACCATTACTGACAGAGGGCTGCAGAGTTAATTTGGACGCAACAGAGGCGAAACAAGAGTTGCCTCATCATAAAGAAGGTTGAAAAATATTCCGTGGAAGAATGTAAAGCCGTGACTGGTGATAGTCCTTTACAAAACAGAAAGGAAGGCTCTCATGTAAACAAATACTTGTTGACCATTTCCATTCCATTTACGGACATTGAAGTTGTGGTTTTGTGTGCAATTGTCGTCTTATTTCTTGTTAGTGAAATGTTTGTTAGCTGGCAATAGCATGCTCTGCTAAAGGTTGTGTTAGTGCTAAGGACCTGGTGGGTGAGGTATGGGAAATAGAAATAGTTCATGTTTTGGTGGAAACTCTCAGCTTGTTGTTGACAATGAGGACCCAAGTGGCAGTGATCAAATCAAGCAGACTGAATGTTTTCCGCATGCTAAGCTAGAAAAGTAATTCCATGCTGGAGGCCTGCTTTGAAAAGGGAAATTGTGCGCAGTGCAAGGTGACTAAAAGCCAGGTAAATGTTACTGTTGCGTAACCCGTGTTCAGCTAGGTTTAAGTTAACAAGCCCAAACAGGGTGATCCCAAAGGTGTGCCCTGCAGGCGTGGTGTTGTCCGTGGAGAGAGCCGGGCTGCTCCCAGCCCATGTCTGCTCACAAGGGAACTTGTGGCACCCATCCTCTGCATATGAAGGGCAGAAGCTTCTGAAATCGCCTACCTCAATCTGCATGATTCTTGGTGTAACTCTGATGCTTTTTAGATGTGGAATTAACCATTAAAGAAAACATTCTCCTAGACAGAGTGCAGTGGTGACTTGTGTGTCTTGGTGATAACAGGGATAGACAAATTTCATCTGATAGCAGGCATAGTTATCAGTAAACAGTAATTAATAACTGTGATGTTCTTTACCCATTCTTCAGTGATGAAGAGACAAGCAGGATTTGTTCCTGAGTCATGTGGAATTATACCTCCTCACATTTCCCTGTAAGCTGTCTACAACCTCTCTGACTGATAGTGCTTGCATGCAAAGAGCACTTCTGGCAGGAGCTTCTTGGGCATGTATAGGTGAAAATATCCAGAACAGTTTATGTGTTAAGGTCATCACTCTGTCGTCACTCAAGAGGAGGGTCTTGAGGTGTGCTGTGTTGAAGCTGGAGGAAAACTGCTGTGATGGGATTGTCGCAATGATGTGATCAGGCCTGATTAATCAGCAGCAGTCAGGAGGCAGCATAGTGCCAATGTGTAGTTTAAATCATTATTATGTCTCGGGTAACGTGTATCACTGTTGTACACAACAGATTGTACAGTTGGTGTATTGAAAAACATTGCTGGTATGTCTCTCTGAAACAGTTACACAATTTGCTACTCTCACCAGTTCACCAGTTCCTTTCTTTAACAAAGTAATGATTGTAATGCAAGGCTAAATGCATTCTGATAATCACTTTCAAGGACTGCTATTCCTGCCTAGTAGAAATAATAGGAATATAGAATTCATAGAGCAAATATCAGATCCTCAAAATTACAGAGAAAAGTTTGAATAATATTTATTTCCACTGTCAAAGGGAATCTCTTAGTCTGTTTCTCCCCTGTATTTGAGATCATCAGGGAACTGTTATCCTTTCAAGAGGAGGTAAAGAGCAGCATGTAAGATCAGTTCTATATTTATATAAAGTATGTAAAAATGCATGTCTTTAAGTGTAGTTGTGCAGTCTTGCTAGTATTATCAAATTATCATTTCTTCAGTAACTTTTGCTTTAAGGATTTTTCAGTGGTCTTTTAAGTATGGGCTAGAGAATTATGTTTAAAGATGACATGAGAAAAAGTTATTTGGGTGAAGTTACAACAAAGCTTATTTTCAGGCCATCCTGGAACCATAAAAACTCCTAAAAATATGTGATCTTTGCAAAGGCATTAGACATGTAGATCTGAGACAGACTTATTGGAAGTATCAATCTTGAGGTGTCTAATGCTTCTGTGCCTTAAAAGAGTGTGTTCCACTTCACCAGCTGAATGGAAATGGTATTCATTAACACATCAACATATTTTTGTAATCTCTGTCACTAATAGATGTAGTCTGTCAAATGGAAGTGGTAGGCAGTCCATACCATTAGCCAGTGAATGAATGGGTTGTGAAATCTCCGCATCCAGAAAAATGCGTATAACGCTTTTGTGTATGGATTTACCTGCTAGAATGTTCAAATGTAAGGTTTTGCAACCTTAAATGACGATTTGTAGGCATTTTTCTGACTCTGCCTATTGCACCCTTTGAGAAAGTATATCTGCACTGTGTACATCTGCCCTGTTCCAAAGATCACCGTGTCCAAGTTTTGAAATAAGCTTGTTGGTTGAAATAAGTTGGATGCTTCTCATTCTGCAGAGTACAAAGACTGCAGAGCTGTATGCATCATTTCCAATTGTGTCTCTTCATCGTTGTTCTGTGGGCAGCATTTTATAGAGAATGCTTCATTGCACATCTGTTGTTTTTTTGCAGGTGATGTATCACCAATCAGCATGTCTCCCATCAGTCAGTCACAGTTTATTCCACTTGGAGAAATCCTTTGCCTGGCCATCTCAGCAATGAACTCTGCCCGAAAACAAGTCACACAAGAAGCACTAATGGAGCACCTAACAACCTGCTTCCCAGGTAACTGTGCATGAATAAATCATTGGTCAAAAGAGCTCATGCCTGTAAAAGGGCAGTTAAAGAGTCCCCCCACTCACTGCCTAAAAGATGCTTGTCTGTTTGGCTTCCTTAGAAGATGGAGTTTCAGCATTTAGTAATCTGTTTATCTTAACTTTCCTGGATGGGAATATTGATTAATCATGAGATGATACCCAAAAGTAAAAGGAGGCTTTGGGGTTCCAATGTTAAAATTTTCTGTTCTTTTTTCTTATATGCACAGAGAAGTTCCATTTGATGGAGCCATTCATGTGAGATACACATTTTGCAGGGCCAATTCCTGACTGTATGTAAATATTAAAACAATGTCTTGAGATGCTAAACAGCAAATTGTGTTCATTTGTTTCTTCTTTTTAATATTTAAAAAATACAAATAAATAAGGCTATTTGTCACTTTTATCACAAAACACCTTCTTTATCATCATAATCGGGAGAGTTTAAGACTTCTTTATTACTTAAAGAGAACAAAAGCATATGTTGGAGCCAGAACAGACTAATTCTACCTCATGGCTTTCAATCTGGTTTTAAGAGCTCTGTTAACTTCATTCAGCTGTTTCAAGTGCCATCATTCACTCTCTGTAGGGCTGACCTCACAGAGGTCTCTGTGTAGAGCATTCTCTTTAAAAAAGAGTGGGTTTCCCACATCCTGCCTGTGGGAGAGACTCTTAAATCTGGCGGGGCCTGATATGAGTGCTGGAGTCCAATGGTGATGATGTGTCTGCCTCAGCAGGAGGGTGTTATATTTAAGCTGGGAAGAGGCTGTCGGTCTGGCATGCAGGGACTTTCAGAGTCATCTTGGATGCAGTTCTAGCTTGAATATTTTTTTTAATTTATTTTTAACTTGGCAACTCTCTATGACTAAAAGGTTTGGGGAACTGTCCCTCAGTTTACAGTTCTCTGAACTAGCTAAGAAAATTCTTTATTGTACATCTTTTAATGACACAAAAGCAGTAATTAAAAATTCTTCAGTAATAAAACTACTGATGTATCTGCTTCTTCTAGGCAGCCTAATTGTAACGGTGATCGTAACACAGTGAGGTTGTGGATGCCCCCTCCCTGGAAGTGTTTAAGGCCAGACTGAGCAACCTGGTCTAGTGGGAGGTGTCCCTGCCTGTAGGAGAGGGGTTGGAACTAGATGATCTCAAAGGTTCCTTCCAACCCAAACCATTCTATGATCCTATGTGTTTTCATGCCTTGAACTTTTTTTGTATCTTAAAAGTTACAAAGCAAGAGTTAACTCAAAGCCTTAGAGGTTGCATTGACTTTTGCTGCAACTGGCACTCACTTCTGAGGTTTTAAAATGTAGTTTTGGATCTACAGCTATGTTTGAGGTAAACAATTGTGTCTGACGTTTGATAATTGTACTTTGGAAAAGATTACTGCAAGTATATTTTGTAAATACTATCTCTCTGTCCTGATTTGTGGTTTAGCTTGCAGAGCATTTATTTTCAGTATGCTTCACAGATGTTGAAAACCGTGGTAAAAGTTGTAAGGGATAGGATGCAAAGAAGGCGAAGTTCGTAATTGTAATTCTAGATAAATTTATTTTGATGTTTTTTTCTAGGTCATGTTTTCTGTATAGCTATGTGTTTGAAAGGTTGCATAGATTGCAAGTGTTTTTTCCAGTGATTCTATCAGTACATTTAATAAAAACGCAATTGCGTGGCGGAAACAATAATTTACTGGTGGCATCCCTTGAGTTTCCTGGGAGCATGGTTATCAGGTGCCATGGTGCGTTGTGCTGTTCTTGCTAGACAGAGCCATGCATCAAAAATAATTCAACAGGCTCTGCTGCCGCAGACTGCTCACAAGAAGCCTCAGGCAACTTAGCACACAGTCTCTTGCTGCCTCTTTTTTCCACTGGCCATGGACATGTGCATTTCTCAAGTTGGGGATGAAAAAAAGGAGAGCCTTGTTTTTCCCACTCCATTTCCTAAAACATAAAGGAAATTATAATTAAAAAAAAAAAAAAACACCCTTTGTTGTTCAGTTTTTCCCCTCTCTAGAGGAATGCCCTTCTCTTCCAGCCATAACGTGTTTAACAGAGAAAGCATGCATGTTCTCTTAGTGTATGAGCACTATCCATGCATCTCGTGCCTTTATACGATGAATGGAATCTTTTCTCATGTTGAGTGATATTTCCACTTGTCTGCCCAATCTCTCTCATAAACCAGCCGTGGCTTTTTGAGTCCTTCTGTTCACTGTGGCTATTTTCAAATATCTGATGTCCTCCCATGTTCTGATAGCTTATTTTTCCTAATTATGTTATGATACGCTGAGAGAGAGGAGAGGATCGCCAGTGTAGATGTAGCTGTCATTGTCAAATAACCTCACTGTAGCTCACCCCGTAGCAGGACTTGTCTGCCTGTGCTGTTCATGTTTTAATGAACAGACGCTTCACTGCTCTTCATGGCACATATAAATTTCCTAAGACCCCAGATGCCATTCTCAAACTGCCTAAGAATAATAAACCTCTTTCCTCAGTGCGGATCTTACACGAGCAGTCTAGCCCTCTAGTTTGCTGAGCCATTGTGCAGGCATAAATCTGGGCCATGGCTCTATCTGAAATAAGGTATGCTAATTATTTATAACATCACATAGCAACCACTCCACATCCTTAACTAGTATTTCATGAGCCAATCAGAGTATTTCTTTTATCCCTTGTTAAGCCTTAGCATCAGCTCAGGAGAAAATCATTTTAGCAGACTTAACACCATTTAAATACTACTTCAGATGTATTTTTCATGAATTTATTTTATTGAAAAAGTTTGTAATGATAACGTATATCTTATTTGTGGCGTTTGTTATTTACCAGTTTTTTTAAAGAACAGGAAAGTTCCTGCTGCACATGCTTCCATTATTCTAACTTGGAATTACCCAATGAGATGTTTGTACAGCCCTACTTTATATTTATTGACCATGGTTTAAATCCTGTGCACTAAATGTAAATCTTTGAAATCCAGTATAAGGAGCTAAGAATGTAACCTCTGCTCCTGTGTTTAGCAGCCAGACCCTCTTATCTGTATTGCTATGGCTGAAGGAAACATTGAGCATTAGACTATGCTGCCTTTAGTAAGGATTTTTCTTTTCTATCCAAATTTGTCTGTGTTGTTACAAAAATCGTTTTAAGGTATTCAATATTCCAGCATGGAAACTGTGTCTGTGACTAGGTCATGTTTTGAAGTAAGAAGTTTTCTGAAAGCTGGCAAATTTCTCTGACGTCCACATTCATATCTGTTAGCTCTTTAAATATGTGAAATGTATATGTAGCACTTAAAATAAGTGTCATACATTAACTGAGTTCACCCTAGGTCAGTGTTCTTTGTGAGCAGCAAACAAGACATAATCTTCTGTCTGGAAGCTCAGAGGATGGCATAGTAGACTCTCTTGAGATGCAAAAAATGTACATGTCTGATGATTCAGTGTCCAGACAGTTTCTGCTTTTGAATTATTTAAACACTACATAATCTTAAATAACACCACTGCTGTCATGCAGTATTTTAAATGATAGAGCTTCTAAACTACTGGTTGGTTGGTTTTTTTTTTTTTTTTTTTTTTTTTTTCTTCTTGCACCTATTTAATAGGAGCAGGGAGACCTTAAGTAGACTTCTGAATGCAAGGGCAGGTTATATATAGAAATGATGTGGGCAGGTTAATGTGAAGAAAAAGATCTTGAGGAAGCCAGGAAATCTGATTTCTTCTTCTGCTTGCGCCTCTGAGTTGCCATGATCTTTGACATCACTTGCCCTCTATCTCTCATTGTTATTTCCAGCACAGTAGGGCTGCTAAGTCTAAGTTCTTTGATTATTTTAAATGGCCTGTTCTGTGCCTGTTGAAGTCAGGAGAATCTTGGCCAGTGGCTCTAGATGGAGCAGGGCTGGTCCCAGACTGTTCATGTTGTATACTTTCTCCTTAGTGTATTTGTTGATGCATGGCATTGAAATTGCTGTATGAAGAATAGTTGAATGACCCAGTCCTGTCTTAAAATCTTCATCCACAGCAAGACTTTCCTCTGCTGTTTTTTAACCTCGTTGAAGGTTGTAGAACACATAGAGGAACATTTATTTTATTTTTTATTGAACCTGCTGCAATCTAACAGAAATCTCACCAACCATGGGATTAAACAAGGACTCCCCTTGTTTTTCTGTTTTGTTTTGACTTCATGAATATGAATTGTCGCATGAGATGATCTCTCTTTCCAGTGCTTGTATGGGAAGTTCGGGCTTCTAAATTTGCGTAATTCCGTTGCACACCCAATATCACACTTCAAGTTTGGAAACAAAACGTAACAACACAACTGGAGTCATAGGATGAAATATTTAACTGCTCAGAGGGAAAATAGACATAGTAGGTGGGAAAGGAGAATCATTATGTAGGATAGATGTTAACACTTCCTAATATAAATAAACTACTTGATCTTTGCACTCATTTGGCTCTGGTTATGAGCAGTGGGAACACTCAAGTGCACATCTGCCAAGACTATGCCATATGCAGCCATGTTTGGAGTATTCACCTAACGTACTAGGTATAAAGGCATACACAAAATACTAGCAAGGGGGCTAGATTAATTTCATTGCTCCTGTTCACATTGCTGAACAACCTAATTCAAGTTTGAGTCTGTTTCTGCTTTTGTAAGTACCTGAAAGAGACCTGAACAAAATCTAAACAAAAGTAGGTAGTATTAGCAATACTCCAGAGATCTGCATCTGCCATCATCGCAGCTGGGGTAGTGAAATGAAGGGAAGTACCGCGTGCAGCAAGCAATAGGAGTGACAGTCTCCAGCTCCAGAGAGAAGGCTGACACAATTCACTTACAGCGTCACTGACTGCCCAGGCATGCTAATTACTTTTTCTGCATGTTCTCTGTCCCTACGACTTAGTCAATTAATGTAACTACAGTGCGTCAATTTTTTAGACACTCACCCAACATACTGTAGTTATGGTTTGTTGGGTGAAAAAATATGTATTTATTTTTACCATGTATTTGCAGGGCGTTTTTGTCACAGTATGAAAAAAAGCTAGCTTAAAACATGAGATGATCCATATCAATCTCTTGCTGAATGTCTTTCTCCTTTTTCTCCTTTTTCTTTTTTCTTGTTCTTTTTAGTTAAGTGAAATAAGGATGAAAGACCAAGTACTTCCAGTACTTCCAAAGGTAGTAGATATGTGTTCAGGTATTTATTTGTAGGCTCCTGGAGGATGCAATGGCTTGGTCAGGTTGTATGTAGAGGAAGGAGTAGAGATTGGCTGCTGCACGACAACTGCATCTCAGTAGGAGCAGGACTGGACCCTGCAGTGCATTTTCAGCACAGAATGGAGAGGCATATAAGCTTGAGATTGGAGTCATCTACCACTTGTGGTGCAAAGCATGAGGGGTGGTACTGACCCTAGATTTCCTTCTGCATGCTCTATGTAGATATTAAAGGTATGTCATTATAATGGGCCTGTGCATTTCTTCCTGGAAAATGATGAATATCTTTTGCTTATTAATTCTTTTCACTTTCCATTGCTACTTATATCCCAGGTAGTTTGCATCTGTTTCTTTGGCAGAAACAGGCAAGAAATTTTGCCTTTTTTTCATTATATTTTACTTTCCATTGTGCTTGACGTGATAAATGATAGATCTGTGTCGCCATATTTTATATCATGTAATTAAGTGTGAGGGTGCTTGGCAGCAAGCCTTCTTACTTACAGGATGTTAGAGCTGCTGTAAGTTCCAGCACTGGTCACCTTTGGTTTGTTCAGCACTGTAAGACTTCTTATTTTGTTTGCAAAGGCCAGACTCCTTTGGGCTACCAGTGGTTTACTGAGGCCTATCATCCCATCCCAGGAGCATGCCTTTTCCAGAGTTGCCCTCGCACCAAGAAACTGTTTTTGAGCAAGTTCTCCTGCTCTCTGTGATACTGAGGTTTTCATTGTCCTGCCTTTCACTTGCACTGTGTTACTGGGTGCTGATGCTTGGGAGCCCATTTAATTGTGCATTCAGAGCGTGGTAATCATGTGATGAGATGTTGGTCATACTGCCAGAGCTCTTGCTGTCATTCTCATGTTTGCTCACGTAAGGAACTCAGGGAGCTTGCAGGCTGCAGCCTTTGACATGTGAGCAAAGAGCTGGTGACCATACACTACATGCTATGGAAGGTAACTACATGACAGGAACAGCTGGTTGAAATTTTTCCAAAGTATTTCTGTGAAAAGCAAGTATTTGGTGAAATGTTACTGAAGGCACAATTTCATGAAATTTTCATTCTTTCAGCTATTCAGAACCTGATATGATAATTTGATATAAGTTTTCTTGCACTTCGTAGGTGGGCTAATGGCATGACTTATCAAGGTCCCTTCCAACATAACTTACCTTCGGATTCAATTATTTATTTACTGAATTAATTTTATTGGAAAAACTAAAACCTAGAGTAAATAATCATAACTTTTAAAAAGAGTTTCTTTAGTTCAAAAAATATAAACCAGCTCAGTACCCCAAAATAAGCTTAAACAGTTCCTAGTTCATCAAAATATAGTGGTCGAAGATAACAATTTCAACTGAAATTTTTGGAAGATTATTATTTCTCATTCAACACAAGCAGATTTCTTTTTAAACTACTTTTGTTAAGACTCTTGTTCCCTTAGCTCTACATGGAACTTACTCCTGTGCACAGCATGCTAACTTGGTATTTTATCTAATAAATTATTAAAGACTTGCTGCTGCACCACTGAACTCAGCAGGAGTACTGGTAGTGGGAAGGACTGGGTTCACAGTGCCACGTTTCCTATGCGGCTGGTGTGGCACTGATGCATGGCTGACATGCTTGACCATCTCTTGGTATGTGATATATTTACTTAAGTAAGCATCCTTCACATTGCATATGAAAGACAGAAGCAAATTCTTAGGAGCTAGATCTGTAAATTTCAGCATAGTGGAAATGTTTCTTTGGGTAACTTGAACTGTATCATTCAAAACATGTATTTTGGAGCAGCTGTTTTAGTTGAGACATGTTTTAATGGGAGAGCAAACCAGTTCAATCAAGACTGTGATGGGGGGCAATTTTGGGGAATCCTTTTTTTTTTTTTCCTTTGTGGTATTCTGCTGTAGGAAAACTACTTAGGCATCCAAATGAACAAATAACCACTATTTTATAGGAGACTGTACATTGTTATAAGTAGTTCTGGTGAAATGGGATATAGGTATTTGATTGGAAGAAGATGAAAAATGAAATATTCCTTCTAACACCCTTTGCTTTCCAGTGATTTTATCCTGTAGCTTAGGGTCACCTATGCGATGGAAGTGACTAGAAGTTCTCTCTTCCTTCTTTTTTTGCACTCCATTAATGGCCTCCTTTCTCTTAATAATTCATATGTTTGAAGTGTAGGAGATAAGTGAAAAAACAAACAGACAAGAGAATGCCTAACAAAGTACTTTGGAGTTGTTTGTTCAGCATATTCCAGCTTGCATATTAGAAAAACAGGTTTATGTAGGGGAGGGACGGAGCCAGAGTACTATATTGTTTACATACTCCCTGATATGTGTTTGCTGTCGTTTCTAGGGGTTCCAACACCCAGTCCAGAAATCCTTCGACATACGTTGAATATGCTTGTACGGGAGAGGAAAATATACCCAACTCCAGATGGTTATTTCATTGTAACCCCGCAGACTTACTTTATAACGCCATCTCTCATAAGAACTAACAGTAAATGGTACCATTTGGATGAGAGGATACCTGACAGGTCTCAATGTACCTCTCCACAACAAGGGACTATCACTCCCTCCACCTCGGGATGCGTCAGGGATCGAACACTACCCAAAAACCACTGCGACTCCTGCCATTGTTGCAGAGAAGACATGCACAGCATGCATGCATCTACCCTACAGAGGAAGTCAGCCAAGGACTGTAAAGACTCGTATTGTCCTCCTTCATTATGCCAGGTCCCACCCACTGAGAAAAGTAAAAGTACTGTCAATTTTTCTTATAAGGCAGAGACGCTCACAAAGCCTAAGGATGTAGAAAAACAGTCTAAGAAATTCGGACTCAAATTATTCCGATTAAGTTTTAAGAAGGACAAGACAAAACAGTTGGCAAATTTTTCTGCCCAGTTTCCTCCAGAGGAGTGGCCACTGAGAGACGAGGACACCCCTACCACTATACCTAGAGAGGTAGAGATGGAGATTATCAGGCGCATTAACCCAGATTTGACTGTGGAAAATGTCATGAGGCACACTGCACTAATGAAGAAACTTGAAGAAGAAAAAGCTCAACGAAGCAAAGCGGGATCTTCAGCTCACCACAGTGGACGAAGTAAAAAAAGTAGGAATCACAGAAAGTCTCATGGGAAATCGAGGTCCCACAGCAAGACTCGGGTATCCAAAGGAGATCCATCAGATGGCTCTCATTTGGATATACCTGCAGAAAGAGAGTATGAGTTCTATGATCCCTTGACTCGATCCCCACGGGAAGGCTGTTTCATAATAGAACACAAGGGAGATAATTTTATAATGCACAGCAACCCTAGCATGATTGAATCTCACTTTCCCATGACACCAGAATGGGATGTGTCTGGTGAGCTGGCCAAAAGAAGAACTGAAATGCCTTTTCCTGAACCTTCCAGGGGAAGCTCCCACTCTAAGGTCCATCGGAGCCACAGCCATACACAGGATAGACGATCGAGGAATGAGCGGTCTAGTAAGGCTAAAGAAAGGTCTAGATCCATGGATAACTCCAAGGGACCTCTGGGCTCAGCTACTTTAGGCACTCCTGAAGACATGGGTGAAGGCTGTAGCCCAGATGACCAAACAACTAGCCAAACTTACATTGATGATAGTACTTTAAGGCCATCTCAGTCGCTCAGTCATCAAAGGGCTCTGATTTCATCTGCAGGCTACAAAGAGACTTGCATCCCTGAAATAGCTAGCGGCAGTGTAGAAACCCCCAGTTCCTGTAGTCTGTTGGAACAAAAGCCTACGGAGAATTTGCCATCGTATAGTGAGCTCAACTCCTGCACAACAAAATCTGCAGTCGATGACTATTTCCAGTGCAACACATCCAGTGAGACTGTGCTTACTGCTCCGTCACCACTGGGAAAGAACAAAGAGGATCATGACACGCTGACAGGGACAGATGGGCTCAAAAAAATGACTCCCTCAGAAAGACAGTCTCAGCATGTTCCCAGGGAGCCTGGGGTGCACAAAGAGGAGTCCCCAAAAGGCCCAAGCAGTGGTTCAGCAGTTGTAGGCCAGACTCCAGAGGTGATTGCAAACGGACGGCTGGTTCAACACCACAGTGCTGAATCAAGCAGCCTTGATAAAAGGAAAGAAATATTTAGCAAGGATACACTCTTCAAACCTCTGCACAACACTCTTTCTGTGAATAGTTTCCATAAGTCTAGCACGCCCCTGCTAAAGCCCCATCAAAAGACCCCTTCTGACACGTTACCAGTCAGATGTGAGAAACTTGAACAAGCGATAGTAACCTCAGTCACACAAGTCATGCCTGTCTCACAGAGACAGCAAGAGACAGCTGGGAACCAGGAGGCCTCGTTTGACTACTACAATGTATCTGATGATGATGACTCAGAGGAAGGAACCAACAAAAATGCCGAGGAAGAGAAGAACAGGGATGATGTTGGCACAATGCAGTGGCTCCTGGAGAGGGAAAAAGAGAGAGATCTGCAAAGAAAGTTTGAGAAGAATCTCACTCTTCTCACTCCAAAAGAAACAGAAAATAGCAACAACCAGAGAGCCACCCACTCAGCCCGCCTGGACAGCATGGACAGCAGCAGCATTACTGTGGACAGCGGGTTCAACTCTCCACGGTAGGACTGTCACATTAATTGCATCTTTACAGTCTAGAAAGTTCAATTTTTAGTTATTTATGTGTATTGGTAACAGAACGTAGGGCCGTATTAAACAAATGTACGTGTTCTAAGACAGTGTTTTCTGCAGCTCTGGAATCTGATATTGAGATGTATGGTTTTCTGCCATACTGTAAGCAACCACTGGTACTAACTCTGTATTATCTTATTTGGCTGAAAAACCTCCCTGTATCTTTTTTTTTTTTCTCTCTGTTTTAAACTTACGTTTGCATTTAGAGTAGCAGGGATGAGCTCCTGCATACTTGCCCCTTCTTTTTCTCATCAAGACTAATTGGAAGACTAGACATGACTAGATGCCATAATCTTTGGCTCAGGCCAGAAAAAAAAAAAAAAAAAGTTTAGTCTGGGTTTTGGCTTTTTTTGTTTGTTTTCTTCAAAAATTTTGGAAGTGTGTCTATTGCCAATGAGTCTGGAACAGCTGTTTCCTCCACACTGCTGAAAGGGCTCAAGATATTTTACCTTCAGAAATGACCCAGTACTGCACCAGCAAAGAGAGAGATGTCTTGCCTAGGAAGCTTGGGAAAAGAGCCCACGTTTGTGTGTGGTGGCAAGGATTAGTCATTTCCATCCTGGAGATTGCAGATATTACAGAAGTCTTGGTGCAACTGGACTCTTACAGGCTTAGTGAGGAGAGAATTCCTGGTGTGTTTCCTACCCTGAAGTTCTGGTATTCTCATTTCCAGGTTAAAAATCCTTCACTCGAGCCTTCTTCTTTCTCCCTCTGGACTTTAGCTATCCTAGGTCCCTGCTGGAATGGAGCTTGTCTGGTTTTGTTTGCCCTGGATAGCAACCCATCAGAGTTCAGAACAATGACTCTGAAACCACAGAAATAATTTACAATGCTTGTTCTCCTATAGTGTCTTACTTAGGTTTAAATTATTTATTGCCAGTGTTTAAAAATAAAACCTCCAAGACTGGATTTGTATTAGAGGAAAGAAAATTGTTTTCTTTTAACTTAAAAAGTGTTCTTAATCCTCAAAATTATATAGTCTTAATAATCTACTGCAAAAGCTCACAGAAAGGCACATGAAGGGTTTCTTGCTTCTACACACAGGACTAATTTTCCTTTTCAGTTAAAGTCATGTCATTCTGAAATAAATTCCTTTGGATTTGATGGTTACTCCTGCTTGATGTTAGTGACAAGGCAGGAATTGCTGGGCCTGCTGCAGCACGCAGCAAACATCAAAGTACCGGAGCAGATTTCTAACATATGTATGATTTTTTCCTAAGTAAAAAAAAAAATTGAAGTAATTTGAGTAAAATGACCACGTTTGTAGTGAATCTAACTTTAAGAAGGGAATTCAAGAAGATTTTGATTTTGCTGTTGTTACTGCTCTGTAGATGCTTGGCATCCTTCTCACATACAGCTGCTGTATGAGGCTATTTGTGCTGTTTATTTTAAAGTGTAATCTCTTTAAGTTGAAGTTCTATAGTTCTGACTGGCAGTCAGTTTTTGCAGGGAAGTATATAATGTTTGGTACTGCTTGCCCAGCCTATCCTACTCTGCTCAATGTGTTTCATCTCCAGGACAAGATATTGACTGGATAAAAATTAGTTCTTAGTTTTGCTAGATGCGTGCTAACTGAATATAAGCTTGCTTTTCTGGTTAGTGCAAAGTCAGACATTTTCTTCCCTAATTATTTGCAGAAAGGCTAAAATCTCTGTTGAAGTTCAACCTGAACTTAGATTGAAGGGAACAGAACGTTGTGAGCTTACTGGATTCAGCTTATGTTAAGATTAAAAGGGAAACAGATTAGCAGCTTTTAATAATGATCATGTTCTACACGGTGTGTTTTAATTTTATTAATTATGATTCTTTTCTTTTTGCAAGGCCACAGAAAGTAAGGTTTTACATTAAAAAAAAAACCAAACACATTCTGTAGGCACTTTTTTTTCTGTATATTTGTTTCGTAAGGCCAGTGTAAGTCTGGATATTTCAAAGGCTTTTAAATATCCAAGTCATGAGTTTTGCATCAAGATGATTAAATTGGATGCTTTTGCTTTCTTCTGGTCACTCCTCGATATAACTCTATAAAAACAAATGAAGATGAGGTTGATTTGGACTCTCTGGCTATATTTACCTTTCTGTTATTACTTGCCTACCTTTTAACAAAAAATGTACTCCACAGCCCTTCTCCAGGAAATGTAAAACCACTGTCCAGCATCCGTCTGGTAAGATTCACCTAGCTGTGACAGCATCCATTAGCAGATGCCTTGGGAAGAGGATAAAACCAGCACCTGTATCTGGTGATATCTCTCAAGTATACTCTGGGCCTCTGCTGATGTGCGCCTCTGGGGTTGTGTCTGCTGGGCTGTGGTGCTGTTTGGTCACGCAGTGTTGCCTGGGGAATCAGAGTTAGCAGTTCTACACTGAAAGAAAAAGGGTATTTAATGAGAGGTGGGTACTTCATGTGATTTGCAATGGTCATTTGACTTCAAAAGTGTTTTGTGAATGAAATTCATCAAAACATCACTGTCTGGAAGACAGCCTCTCAGTATTTTGTTCATTGCATTTATACAGGTGGTATAAGGTATCCATTAGCTCACCGTATTCATTTTATTGCTTTATTTTTAGGGCTTATATAATACTGCTGTTCTTTTGTCACCTAAGGAAGGAGCTAATTTTGGCATTACTCTGCATACAGAACTCACTGCAGTCGTTACCTGTAGATGTCGTAATGGTCAGTTTGTAACACTGGAATTGAAATTGTTTGAAAATGTGAAATTGGTGGTCCCTTTAAGAAGGATACAATACTGAATGATCTTCAGAAAGGAAAGGTTGCATCTCTTCTTGATTGTAAGCAGAAAGAGAGGAATCAAAGACTGAAAGCACAGCCTATGTCACTGCAGCTCAGTGCATGTGTCACCCATCATAGCTGTTTGGAACTGCTTACAACAAGAGAGAAATTGGCAGATGATCAGTGCCATTTTGATTGATTTTAAAAGATCTACAAGAGCTTCTCTAAAAGCATCATTTTAGTTGTCAGTTTAAGATGACTTACAGCTAAATTTATTACTACAGCTAAACAAAACATTTCTTTTTCCCCTTGTGTCACACACTGACACATTCCTCCCTCTGTCCTCAGTACCTTTGGCTGTAGTGCCCATTTAACACCCAGTAGTACTCTAAATGGACTCAGGAAACATGTCCTTGGCAAGTCGTGATGTCATTTTGCAAAGAAGTGGGGCTATACATAACCAGGATCCACATGCCTTGGTTTGAAAACCAAATCTCTTTCTGCATGGAAAAACATGATTTAGAGATTAAGAGTAGAAAGAGAACAAAAAGAGTGGTAGTGCTGAAATCTAGCTTTAGCATATGGATGAGTTTTTTGAAGCTGTGGACTAAAATATAGACTCTTCTGCATTCTTGGTGAGATGTATTGTGTAGTCTTTGAAAGTGCTAAGTGTGCTGTCACTCCCATGGACAAAGGATTTGTTAGAACTACAGGAACTCGGTCTGTTACCTGAGTGACAAAGCAAGTTGTGCTGCAAGGTTCCTCTCCTAGCTGTACATATTCACAGAGCTGATTTGATGAAGTTACTTTGTACAAAAACGGACAAGCCAGGGAAGAAAATTACGTTCCACAAAATAAAATAGAAGGTATGTTTTGAGTAAAAATCCAGATACTTGACAGTGGTTTGGTTTACAGACCCCGTGTGACAGCTCCAGCTCTGCTTAGTGCTGTCCCTGTGTTACAGCACGGCTACTGCTGAGTTCTGCTGGAACCCGTTCTGGAGGAACATATGTGAGCTGTCAAAATGAGATGGTTTATTGATGTGACATTGCATACAAACACAGGAAGCCTATTATAAAACACTCTATTCTCCTTTCCTGCCTGGTCGATAGATATATCGGCATGTCATATGTGAGTGCGTATATATATATTTCTTTTCCGTTCTAGTACTCGGGAGAGCCTGGCATCCAACACTTCGAGCATTGTTGAAAGCAACAGACGTCAGAACCCTGCTCTGAGCCCAGCACACGGCGGTGCAGGCCCAGCGTTCAGCTTCCGAGCCACCGCAGACCCGCCGACAAGCGAAGCTGAGAAACTGCAGAAACCAGCTAACTGCCTGCAAGCTTCTGTCACTAGTGTCTGATAGTCAGCCTGCCTCAGAATTTCTGTCTTATCCCATACAGCAAAGTTTACGACACTGGGACTGATGTTTACATCTTTGGAGAAAAAAAAAAAAGAAAAAAAGAAAAAAAAAAAAAGCATCTCAACCACAGTTTTAGTGTTTACTTAAACTGTGCTGCTATGTAGACTAGGGGCAACAAATAAATCTTTCTTTCGAGGTATTGCTTTTCACATTTGCGGCTCTGTAGCAACAGAATAGCAGTAGGGATAATATGTACACTTTTTGCTTCACTTAATTGTAACTGAGCACATATATGAAAGTCTAGACACTGTAAGTGTAATCTGCATTTTCAATGTCCATGCAGTTGCCAACTTCATTTAAAAAAAAAATGCCACAGATGTGTGATGCCCCTGGTCAGAAGCTAAACTCTGCTGCAGAGTTGGTTTCCTTCAAAAATTGAGCCAGTGCTGACAGTGACCAGCCAGGATCACCGCGAGGAAAAATGATGCCAAACGTGACGAGTGATGACCTCGGCTCTGTCTGCGAATTATCGGTACCGATCAGTCATTTCCACTGTGCGTTTTGGTGACAATTTTGCAAATACCTGTTGAAGTGAATAAGAAGAGGTTCTTTTTTTAGATTGTGGAGGTTGGGGAGGGAGACGGCTTTCCCTTTTGTGTTTCAGAAGTATGAGAGATGCTCGTGTATGAGAGAAGCTTGCTGCATGACCTTCCGCGGTCACAAATGGGGGTGGTAGGCCTTGCGTAGAAGGGGGAATGGGGAGGGAAGGGGAAGTTATAACTGTTGCAGAGCTGCGGTGCGAAGTGACACAAAATATAGGAAATATCTTCAGTTTACGTAAAGTGTTCTAAAAAGATAATCTGATTTTCGTGTCACTTCTGGTATTGCATCTTGCCATTAACGCAGGAACCAGAAAAAAATCTGATTTCTTTGAACAAAAATATTCTTTATGATATAAATGACAAGTATGGCCTGAAGAACTGATTTCTTTCTAGTGGAAGGACATAAATCTATTTTATGTAGCTTATTAAATAGAGTGCCTAAATTAGGCTATTAAAAAATAGCATACAGTGTAGTTATTATCAGAGAACAAAATTTAGAGAATTATAAACTTCTGGCCTTTTTATTCAGTGGATGTTATTTGCAATTTAGCATTTTATGGACATGTTTAGTTTCTAGAAATTAAATGTGTCCGTATGGTGGGCAGTAGAAAACTGAATTCTGTAAGTATGGTTTATCCTAATTGCTCTCCCCGAAACTGTTACTCTGGAGTAATTTGTGCCATGCTAATTACTGCAGAGTAACTTCTAGGGATAGTTGAACTTCAAAAATAATTTTGAGGTGTAGGGTCACATTCTGCTCTGTTCCTCATACAACCTGGTAGTGCAACAAACTGACTTCAAAATTAATTCTGTCTTCGTTTTCTGTCAGAACAGACAAATTGGTGGAAGAATAACAAAGATATTAAATCGTTCAGCAGTCCAAACTGTTGAATAGAAGAGAGACATTTCCACTGTCTAGCTCCTGTAGTACACAGGTATTAAAACCAACTGTACATACTAAGAACCAGTCTTTTCATCAGGTTCTGGTGACATGCATTACTCTGTACGCAGAGTCATTTGAGCTTCACTCGTGTTCTATATTCTCATCAGAAGTCTTCACTGAAGGTTCAGCCTTATGTTATGCAGTTGGATATGAGTTCATTTTCTTACCAGCCGGCTTTCTAACTGGATGCGACCAGTTTCTAATTCTGTAAGAACATCTCCAGTAGCCAGTAAATGCACAGGTCTGCTTTCCTTGGTTTCAGTGTACAAATTCCATTTCACAGGAGCAATAAGACCTTTTGGTGCACATGAAGGAAATTATTGTGCTTTTGGTTGGTTATCAAAGTCACTTGGCCTTTAGCCTTCTGCCTTATCATACCTTCCAAGATGTGCTCTAATGACCATATAGCGCTTTGCATGACGCATCTTACTATTCAATATGTAACTCCAGCCGTGCTTACTCCATGCGAACTGTAGAGTCAGAGATTTTGTGGGGAGCTGTCATATACTGTGCAGTAGCTGACTGTGATTTTGTTTTCTGAGGCAAGCTCTGATATCAGTAGTATGTATCCATTCAGTAAATAAAAATGTCAAAACTTAAAAAAATAATAATAATAATTACAGCCGATGATCTGAAGTACAAATGGCAGTATTAGAATGTGAGGAGCAAGAACAAATTTTATCTTCTGGAGAAGTGTTTGTCATAAAGTAATCAGAACTTATGCAGGCAGCTGGTTGTACAGAAGACATAGTTCCAACAAAATATGACAGTACATACCTACAAACTGTAGTATGTAGTTTCCTAAAGTTCCCAGAGACCAGCAGACAACATAAATGTCATATTAATGTTGACGTGGCATTGTACCAATATTAATGTGACTCTTGGAATATGGAATGTAAACAGAAGTTTCAAATAGAAACGTTCTAATCTTGAATTGCTTTTTTTTTTTTTTTTTCTCCCTTTTTTTTTTTCCTGTCTTTTTTCTTTAAAAATCAACAATGGAATATAAGGAAATTCCATCTTGAGGTTCTGGTAACAAAACCACGAGAGTGGAGCTTGAGTGCTTTATGTCACCCTAATCCTTTGATGAAATCATAGCCTTGTATTACGTGGTTGCTTATCTATCATTCTTCTAATGTATCGATTTAAAGGTTTACAGAGTTAGATTAGGTTGAATCTGTGTTGTGTTCAACTGTAAAGGGTCAACACAAATCTGTCGGCATTTTGCACACTTGATATGTATTATTATAATACAACATGTTACTTTTATGGTAATTTTTTTTACACATATAACTACCTCCATGAATTTGATGAAATGCAGCAACATAAAAGCGTATTGTTGTACAAAGCAAGGTTAAAAACTTTGAAGCATTAGCTCATGGCGTTCTCTTGTGTGTCAATGCTTGCGTATGAAGTCATCGTGTTTCCATTGCCACGATTTCCTTTTACAATATTAAAAATCTGTCTTTCAGATGAGTCATGTAAGACTTTGACAAGGCTGCATAATTTGGATAACAGTGAAAAGGGAGGCTGAACCCTCCCATCCTCTCCCCAGTTACTGCTACAATTTCTGCCTGGTAGAACTTGAAAATGTGTATGTAACTGAGCAAATTAGGAACATCTACAGTCTGTGAAATATGATTGAGGGTGTGGGGTTTTAGGGGAAGACGCTCCGGGTATTTTCTTGGCAGCCTGCAAATATGCTGGGCCCTATTCTGCCTCCTTTTGCCAACAGGTCAGGTCATGGTTTCTCGGAACTGGCAAGAGTTAGAACAGCAATATGTGCTCTGGTTTCTGGAGCATGTACGTCAGAACCACTCACTCTTGTAGAAATGAGCAGCAGCTCTTAACTGACTTTGCTGGGAGCAGCATTAGGGACCCTGCTTGAGGTATGTGCCTGTTGTTCAAAGAACATGGCCAAGTTCCCAAGAAAAATGAAGCCGGCCTTGGAAGTAGCCAGTTGCAACAAGCCACCTTTCAGAAGGGAAAAAAGGTTTTCCAAAAACCAAAGGAAGAAAGTGGCGGCTGAACTTAAGCAGATCATATTTATATACAAGCCCCGATTTATGAACACCTCTTTCAGCAAACCTAGTGCCATTATCGCAGTGCAGGTTAATATATGGTCATCAGCGGAGCTAATTTAGCTGTTAAAATAGTTCAGTTAAAAATCGTAAGAGGTCATCCATTTGACTCTGCATCATTGTAAAACATCCGTAAAACAAGCAGCGATGCTCGCTTGACTTTAAAACATATCAGGAAAGAAATATTGTAATGAAAACCACAGCCTAGTGCTTGCCAGAGCAGTCATTCTTACAGCAGAGAATGAGGAAGCCAAGGTCATGCTTTGCACCCAGATCATGCCCTCTGGCCCTGGAGCCTTCCGTGTGGTTCAGCCAAGGCAGGCAGGTGGGTGGCACCATCCCCATCTTGTGTCAGGGCATGCTGAAAAAAAAAAAAAAAAAAAAAAAAAAAAAAAAAAGACAAAGGCTGAAATCTCTGGACAAAATTATTAACTGGTTTCCTTCTTTCTTTTCAAAAGTCATTCCAGTAAAATTTCTTAGTTAACCAAAGTGTTGATAGTCTGAAGTTTTCACACGGTCGGTTTAAGAGAGGGGCTGCTGTGTGGTCCTGCGGGGACTCTCAGACGAGGAGTGCCAAACAGTTCCAATCACACAAGTACTGCCAGCAGAGGGTCTAGGAACAGGATTTTTAATTAAAAATGTGTTTTTCAAATACATTTCCCAGAGCTTTTCCTAAACACAGTTGTTCAAGTGGTGCTGAGGAAGCAAATAGCACTCCTGATCTGGTGTCACCCGCACAGTTTACAATTCTCTTTGCTCTTCTGAAGAAAGCTGTACAGTATTAAGAGAGAAAAGTTCTATTTTTTACATAATTCTTTAAAAGAAAACAAAGTATATATCTAAAGCGTTCCCCCCCAACATAAGTAAAGTACATGGATACTGCATCAGAGAGCTGCATGGCACGCAGGACCCAACTAAAGCCAGGCTGGTGCTAGAAGAATCCGGGACTCGCACTTCTTATAGTGGCTCCGAGCATTGGTTGCAGCCCCACGGTGTAAATCTGGCAGTCACTCCCCACTTCCCCCCTCTCACAGAGAGCGGAATTGCTTGCTAACTCCATTGAAGCTCAGTTCTGAGCTGAGGATTTCCATGTTCCTTCCCCCAAGACAATAAAGGAGCAGAAGGCCGCACGCACACACCTGGAGCTGGAAGAGATCCCTGATGGAGGGCAGCAGCCCTGTGCCCGGCTGTGGGGAGAGCTGGCATAGGGGTTACCTTGGTGTGTGGAGAAGTGTGCTGAAAGGGATGGTAATTCTGCAGGTAACTTCCTGTGAGTGACTGAATGTGGCTGTTGCATTAGGTCTGAGTTAATAAATGCAAGTGGGACTTACTGTATGCTAGAAGGGAGTTTTGCAGCCAAGACTGCCTTGTATAAATGTGTTTGCACTGAAGAAAAAAAAAAAAAAAAAAAAAAAAAAATTAAAAATTACTTGGTCTCTGGTTGCTGTAAAGGTCATCCAAGATGGATGTTCTGTTTATATTGTATAGTATTTCATATGAAATAATTACGGTTCATGAAATGTCTTCCCTAACGTTACTGATTTATAACAGCACATTTGTAACATGGTTTTTATTGTGTCAGTGTACCATATTGTAAATGATGATAACTTGTCATGCTTAGTATAATAATTTAAAGGAAAAAAGGACAGGGATTTTTGTAAGTCTATATTTGAAAGTCCCTCCATATGGTAATATTGTGTTCATGTTGTTTATGTAGTGTTGTGTGAAATATCCATTTTGGATTGTGTTACTTTTTAAGATATTAAATAACATTTGGTTATATGTTTTAAGTGGATTTCTTGTACCCATCGGTGGCTTTTAGAGAAAGTGCTTTCCATTTTAGAGAAGACCGCTTCCATTTAACACGCCATCCTCTCCCTCATTTTTGAACCCTTGTGTTACAGATTGTCAGTCTCAGAAAAACCAGGTGAGTGCTGTGTCTGTGTGTGCTTCCCTGGGGGGCTGTGAGAGTGTGAGGGAGGAAATTGGCTGCATTTGAGAGCCCCAGTGGGAAGGGGGAAAAGTACATGGCTGGAGAAATGCTGCAAAGTCCCCCTATCTCTGCTGATACCTTGTCAGGTGGTATTTTGAAGGTTCTCCTCCCCAGCGTTGCTCTTTTCCATTGGCTCCTCAACTGTTTCTATAATGTCCGACTTTTCTTCTTGGTTTATTTTCTACGATGTCCTTCTCTGTCAGAATCCCACCTCTTCTGCTCTATTCTGGCACTTTTCCTCCTTCTGGTTGTTTTCTTTTCCTATGTGTTACTTGACATGAGACATCCTTTGCTCCTTTTCTCACCCTTTCTGCTTAGAATGTCATCCTACTCCTACAGGGCCTATTCCTCCCTTTTTCATTACTTTCTCTTTTCACTATCCCTGTTCATTTAAAGACTCCAGAGAAGAAAAGGAGCTCCTGTCAGCACTTCCCTTCCAACCGTGCCACTCCAGATTGGTGACTTCAAAAAAATGCTGGGTGGAAGTTTTCCTTTGCTGTTCATCTCATCTGTTCTTCTGTCCTTTTGGCTGCCGCTCCTGTTCTCTGTGCTTTCTTGCCCAACATCTCTGCACTTTGAGGGCTCAAAGGAGTCCTCAAACCTCAACTAAAGCCCCAGCTCTCATTTGCCTTCCAGCACTGAGCAAGGCCCCAGCTAAATGCCGAGAAAAACGCTTCCAGAAATACCATTGGCTTTGTGCTGGGAGGGCAGAGCTCGTGCTGATGAGTGGCTTCCTTCCAGCCTCCAAGTCCTCGTGCTGAACAGGGTATTTTTAGCCCTGCTGTCACAGGAGTGACAAATGGGGACTGGGAGCAGGAAATCCCAAGCACATTTTTTTAAATCTCTTTTCTCATCTCTCATCCTGATAAGCACAGAAGACCTAACCCTATGCTGGCAGCTATTTGAAAAAACAAGCACAGTAAATAAATCAACCAGCACGTACATGTCTGTGCTCTAGGAAGAAGCCTGTCCTTCCGGAGGGGAGTAACCCTTAGGCTGGGACACTGCTGAGCTTAGCATTTGGGAAGCCTCCCCTGCAGCCATGGGACCAGCTCCTTGCTGCCTCAGCTGTGCTCCATCCTCCTGCTTCTCTCCAGCAGGCCCCAGCCACTGGCCCAGCACAGGGAGGCCATGTAGGGAGAAGCTCTCCTGCGTCCAGTTTAGTGCTTGCCTCTGGCTTGTTCCCAATGTGAACTTGCCAGAAAATCCTTATTCAGGATCCAGCTGCCACAACTCCCCATGCTTCCACTGGACACGAGCTTATGATGACTTTCAGATGCTTGTCATCAGGCCAGCCATGACCCTGAGCTGAGGCATGGCTCTGGCACAGCTTCTCAGCAAAATAGCTGCATTTTTTCATTTTTAACCTAAGCAAAGTGGTACAGTTTTCCCTCTTCTTCAAAAAGAACAGTGAGACATTTTACTCAATACTGCAAGAAGCTGATGGTTGAGACCTCAACTTCATCTGCTTGTATGCTTCACATGCAGCCCGTGCAACATCTCCAGCTTGACAAAGGGAGCCAGGAGCTCCCATCTCCATATAGCCAGGGCTGTCCCATGCAGGCAAGGGAAGATCCAGAAAGCCCCTGAGTTCCTGGGCAGGGCACCGGTGCTGGAACAGCAGGTGGCGATGATGGAGCACTGAGGGTCTCGCAGGATTGTGCAGTCTTTCTTGCACCTGCCTGCCCTGTTACCTTGATTTCAGGCCAATCTCCCTCTCCAGCCTACAGATGACCTAGGCGTGTGTTGTTACCACCTCCACCCAGCCTCCCTCCATTCTCAGCCTCAGGGGCTGCCCTAGTACACTCAGCTTTCATTTTCCATAATCTTCTTTTCGTCACCTACTTCAGAAGAAAGATATTTTTCTTCCAACTGTGGTGTTTTATTTCCAAGTAGTCTCCAGTGGGCCCTAGAGATTTATTATTTGTTCATTACAAGGAAGCTCAAGAGCTCTCGCACCTCAGGTAGCTGATGTATTTATTGCTCCTCCTTAGAGGCAGAACGCACTCCCATTACTTTTTTATTATCAGCCATAATCTAACATGCAGCACCCGTATTTCTCATGCTCCAGAGCCATACAGCAGATAACAGTTCCACCAAATCACAGCATGCAAGGAAGTGTTTGAATATAAAATGAAAGCCCTTCTTATTTTTGATGGCAAAGGCAAAAAAAAAAAAAATAGAATACTAAAGCCTTACAGGATGGCAAATAATAGTGTATAATCAAAGAACATTAGGATGGTATAATCACAGAATAAACAAGAGAGTTAGGCAAAGCAGACTATGATAACAAAAGGAGAATAAATAGAAAGCTTACCCCTATCCTGGGCTCACTCACAAAACACCAGCAGAGCAGATCTCCAGAAGAGATCCTTCCCCACTGGTAGCCAGCTCTTAAATAGGTCTAGGAGGGGTGCAGCCAGGCTCCACCCCTTCCTGCAGCACAGGTGAATTGCCTTCAGCTGTGCTCCTCTGCTGACTTATGGCTCGCCTCAGGTGATCCATCAGAGGTTCAGGCCGAGACTCGGCAGTTCCCACACAAATAGTTTTACAAAGCTTCCACTGTGTTGAATATTAGGAAAAATTTCTGAGTGGTTGGGCACTGGAATGAGCTGCCCAAGGAGGTGGTGGTGTCACCGTCCCTGGAGGTGTTCAAGAATTGTGGAGATGTGGCTCTGAGGAGCACGGTTAGTAGGCATGGCGGGATGGAGCTGGGCTAGACTATCTTCGAGGCCTTTTACAGACTTAATGATTCTGTGGTTCTATGGGAGGGTCTGGAAGGGTCCCAAATGGCAGGAGTGCTGCCAGCAAAGCCTCTCCTGCCTGGGCCCTCGCTCTGGCCATCCCGTGGCCCACAGCACCACCTGCTGTGCTTTGGCACAGTTGGGAACCAGCCCCCGCCTGAAATCAGCGAACGTCCTCACACTGCTGGCAGTATCCTCTCTGCTCAGGCTGCCCCCCTAAAGAAAAACACAAGGAAAAACTGTTTATCTTAGCCCATCACTGGCCTTCCCCCTTCCCATGTGCATAGGATGTTTCCACTCAGGAAAGTTCTGAACGCCACAAGGCTCTCACGTTCGCCTTGCAACAAAACCTCCTCCCTCCCTTCTCCCATTTCCCACTGTACGTGCAGCAACTCACTGTATGTTCCCTTCCAGAGGATGCGAAGCGCCTCTGCGCTTACTTTGTGTCCAAAAAAATCATCTCTTCTCTCCAGGAGGAGAAGGCGCGTGATGCATCCCAGATGTCTGCACGAGGCAGCAGTCTGCAGACATAACAGATTGCAGGAGGGAGGTGGGGAAGCAAGGAGCAACTACTGCCACGTGCCCCTCTCAGCAACGGGGGAGCTGTGAGGCTGACATTTTGCTGCACAGACATACGAAATCCTTTAAATGTTACACGTATTTTATTTTCATGACACTATCTATGCAATTGCTGAGAACTCCCTAGTGATAATCCCAATGGTAACTTATGAATCTTTCCTAATTTGGATCATATCTGAATTATTGTATGTTTTTTTCAATGGGACAAAAGTCCAGAACAGCAAGCATTGGAGACCACAGACGGGCTGGAAACCACAAGAACTGCCCATGCTGGTTGGCTTTGGGCAGCCCTAGTTTCCACTGAGCTGACTCAGAAACAACCAGCCCTAAAAGCTGCCCTCACCCTTCCCATCACAGGGCACCCAGGAAATCACCCAGAGCTGTCCTTGCCATCAGCTCTGGCTGTCACACTGGGGGATGCTGCGGGGCTCATGGGGCAGCACCTCCTGTGGGCTGTGGGGTCTTTCATCAGGGGCTTTGCTCCAAGCCCATCCAAGGGCAGACCTTGAGGACGAGGACAGCCCCAGGCTGTCACAGCTTTCTTGGGCTGACCCCTGCACCGTCCCACACAGCCAGGCACCTTATCTGCCATGGCATGGTCCCTCAGCTTCTACACCATTCGTTCATCCATCTTCCTCCTTTGTATTAATTTTTTAAGCTGTAGCTGTCACATCTGCACACTTACCAGCTGCTTTCCCAGTTTTAATTGCCTTCCTCAAGGCAATTAAAAGGACTTCCTCAAGAGCCACACCTGCTTTTCTACAGTCCTTCATTTGTCACTGTCCAAGCTGGAGAAGGGAGCATTTAAAATTCAGCCTTTATGACTGCGTCGTGTTTCTCTGAACCAGTGATTAACTGCTGAGCCCTTGCAGGCTGTATCCAGCAGCGCCTGCAAGAAGCAATCCGTGTTTTGCTGGGAAGCTTCCCACATCTCGGCCGTTGAATATCTTCCCGGTGGCGGATCTCGCATTTCTTTTTCCCACTTGGTGTACGGACACGTGAGGGATTGACTCCGAGCAATTTGATCCCCGGGCTGGGCTCGGGCACCGCGACGAAAGGGAGCCCGGGGCCGGGCCCGCCGTACCGGCAGGGGGCGCTCCGAGCCCGGTTATGGCGGCCGAGGAGGTGCGCTCCCCTTCCCGAGCCTGCGGCGTTCGCATCCTCGGCGTTTCTGGCTGCTCGTACAGAAACGGAAAGACAAAGCAATAAAAGCAGCGAACAGGGAGCTCCCCGTTTCCCCTCGCCATCTCTGGACCTCCTTTTCTTCTCCTCAAGCTGCTGAACAGCGCTAACTGATGTTATTTATGATCAACGTGGGTGTGTTTCTTCTGCCTGCACACAGGTGCTCTTCTGCAAGCTCAGCTGGCAAAGCTTCCCCAGCAGCCAGGACACCAGCGGCAGCCATGCAAAAGGCTTTTCGGTTGTGCAGATATGTACAGAGCTTTAGAATTAAGGAGTGTAGTCAACTTTAATTCTGAAACGCTTGTATTTTTGAGTTCTAACATGAATTAGAGGAGTTATCAGTGCAACTTAAAGCAATCTGCCTAGCCAGCATCAGCCAGCTGAAAGACAAAGTCAGCTTTGCCTAGTGAGGCCCAGCTGCACAGACAGTGACACTGATCCAAAGCTCAGGGCAGGCACTCAGCAGGTCCCCAGTGAGCTGGGTGCTGTGCAAACACAGGGTGAAAAGGTGGCTCGTGTCCCAGCGATGGAGGAGGGGCTGTGCACCCCAAGCAGGCCTGAGGACATGCAGCAGCGGCGTGTGGAAGATATGAAAGCTCTCGGTGCTATTAATGCAGGCAAACTGACACAAGAAACGGTGGGAAAAAGCGCACCTGTTCCAGAGGTTAAATACTGAAATGTGTCTGGAGAAAAGGACTGAACATACAAGCTACAATAGCTCATGAGATGTATTTAATGTCCCTAATTCAAATGCTGACAACTTTGCCATTTCTCAACAATGTTATCATTCATCTTTCTGATGATTAATCAGCAAATGCTTCAAACACTGCTTATCACACACTGATGCAGCAATCAAACAAGAAAGGCGAGGTGTTACGGATGCTTCTTTTTTTTTCAAAAATCTTACAGTATTTACAAAAAGATGCGTATTTTTATAACAGCATTCTCAGAATTATTCACGCATTCACAATCAGTCGTCGTACAAAAACATCATTCAGAAATACACCCACCTCAGTTGCATAGTGTACAGAAAAACAGGCTGAAGACACTGAATGAGAATGTGAACTGATTCAGAGGTACAAAATTTCAGAGGAAGAAAGCCACGCTTCTCCAACGTAACCAACTGTAGTACTCCTGAAGCTAATGAGCTTCTTGTAGGTGTGCCACCCAGTCTCCGTGTTACAGATCAAGTATATTTTGAGGCGTATCAGAATACAGCTGTACACTTCCTGGATTTTTTTTCCATAAGAGGATACTGGATTATTTTTGCAGCAAGAGTTAAAACTGCAGACTGAAGGGACCCGCCTGCGCTGTGTGTATCCTGTTGGTTTTGCAGCAAAACTTTCCCATTGTGTCGTTTGGTTATCTTCTGTACGCTGATAATTTTCTCGCTTTAAAAATGTGCTCCAGTGAATTCATTGAGCCTGGTTCATTAAAGAGCAACAGGGAACTCTGAACACTGGATGCTTGTATTACAGCTACTGCAAATGCTTAGAAAGCACTAAATTGCCTTTTATACTCAACAGTCTAATAACAAAGACTGATTTTCTCCCTTTTTTTTCCCAATTGATTTGATGGTTCACTTGAGCTTTAAAAAACACATTACATAAATCTTTATAGCTATTACAGAAGTCTTTTGTCAAGTTTAATTTGTTGTGCTTTTTTTTTTCATAGTGTAATCATTCACCCTTAAACTCACTGTACCAGAACGGTGCTTGACTCTGGATCCATGTGAATAACAAGCCTTAGAGGTTTATTTTGCACAAGGAGGGATCTAAATCCTTCTAAAGGCAGTTTTTCACTGAAAGCTCTTGGTTCAGAGGTATTTCAGAGAAGCGCTGAGCTCCTCTGAGGGCGTTGCAGAAGACCACGGCCTCCCAAAGAGGAAAGGACACTTTGCAGGATCAGATCCTGTCAGCTCTGTTCTAGAGTGGCTAATTTCACAGCAGACATTTAATGATGCAAAAGACCACCTCTCCTGACCCATCATGGTATGTATTCATCCCATGTTTAACACCGAGGGCTGTGACAAGTGGGCAGTTTAACAATTGGTGGCTTTAATCTTCTGAGCTCACAGAGCTGTGCTGCTGGCTTCATTATCAGCCCTGTACTGAGCACTGCCCCAGGGAAGATCCATGGCTGCACTGGAGTGAAAGAATAGGGCAAATTGTTTTTTCAAGGGATTTACTGCACCTGCTGTGTTGATGTTTTCAGGATTACATCATCTTTGACTTGCCCTTCAGGTGCACTGCCTCTGAGAGCAGCTCCATGCTCTCCTGCTCTATGTAACTTGACTGTTACAACTTTCTTTGGGCTTGGTAATCCAAGTAGGCATAGTAGCTAGGATTAACAGAGGGAGAGATGGAAAGAAATGCATATGTGTAAACCTCTCTCTCTGCTGCAGAACACCACCTCTAAAAAAAAAAATCAGGGGAGTTTGCAACCTACCACAGTGCTTTAATGGCAGAGAGCAGGAGCTGGTAGAAAAGCAGGAGGCGTCAAAAATCTTCAGAAACACAATTGGGTTAAAGAAAAACAAAACAAAACAAAACAAAACATGTAAGCAGGTGGATATCATCTTCACCAAGGAAAACAGAAAGGGTGCTAAATGGCAGGCTTCCTCACTGTAATTTGTCCTAAGTGCTAGGTGTCCAGGTGCCATTACAAGTTCTTCCTCATTTTGATGTGAAGGATTTCCATCACTCTTCTCCCTCTGCATCCCCCTCTCCAGCTGCACTCCCCGATGCAAACCCTGTCCTGAGGGCATGCAGTGCCAGGGCTCACTTTAAGGGAAAGTGAAGGAGGAAAGACTAGGAGAGGTAGGATGCTCTCACTGCTCTCCTCCTGATCCAACTCTGTTGGCACTCAAATCACTCAGCAAAGAGCATGGCTCTTTGGTCTGTTTAGACTGGGTCTGGCTGGCACTGTGAGGAGAAGGTGGAGGTCTGCTGGGGTAAAGGACAAACTTGAAAGAGCTCAGGTTAATTCATCGAGGTCTGTCTCTATATGCCTGAGCTTCCCACTGCCAGCAGCCAGGGTCAGCTTCTCTGTTAAACTTGCTGGGTAAGATGTGTCTGATGTCCAGGGGTATCCATATGCACCCACCAGAAAATGTGGCTGGTAGCTGGCCCGAATCCTGCTCCTGTCACCAGTGTTGTAAATTCAGAGCAGCAGCAGCAGTTTTTCTGGCTGTGGTTAGAGCAGCACACAAATTGGCTTTGCATTAAAACTGGTGTAAAAGCCAGTGTGGTCAGATTCACGCCTGGTGCAGCACAGCAGATGGGTGAGGGCAGCACGCTAGTAAGGAAGCTATTATTCAAATGAAGAAATTCTTGCAGGGGGGAGAGGGAGAGGAAGAAGAAAGAAAAAAAAAAAAAGAAGAATCAAGTTGCTGGCAACACTGACCAACATTGTTTGGGGATCACAGCAACCAGAAGAGCAAGAGCAGAGTCAGTGCCAGCACACAGCCGCTCCGTGTGCAGAGTGGCACGCGGACAGCCGTGTTCTTCAGCATGCACTCCACCCTGGACCAGGAGCCATTGTTTGGCTGTGGCTGCACTCCTGCCAGGCTGCACATGACGTTGTAAACATCCACAGATCTGATGGGAGGCGCGCGGTAATTGGATCTGAAATCTGCAGGAAGAGCAGTAGAGAGAGGCATCAGCAGGTGCAGCTGCGGGCTCCACTGCTGAAATGTGGGGGCAAGGGCTCTTCTGCCCTTCCTGGGGCTTAGCCAAGGGGCTGGGGTGCTAAATGTAATATGTATTATGATTTCCATTGTTATAACTGATAATTACAATCTATATCATTTACAGTATAACTTGGCAAAAACTTTTGTTTAGGATGTTTTCATTCACTATCCATTTGCTCAGCAGAATGCCCAGCTGAAGCAGCCCCAGCCATGTCCCTGGCAGGGCTGGGGATGATGGCATGGTACCTGGCCCATACGCGAGGAAGATGCCCCTCATCTCCATCAGCTCATTGTCGTAGCCATGCCAGCCGTTCTGCCAGGCCTCCCTCTTCCCTGTGCCATTCTCCCAAAAGGGCAACTTGTCCCTGCTCTGGGAAACAGCAGCAAAATTTGTTAGCAATACAAATACAAACTTATTGTTATTATTATTATTATGAATGTATAGTAATATGTTGGTATGTAAATTTCTTTATGTACAAATCTAATAGATTATCTGCTTAACAAGCTCTCAGAATTGCCATGTGCACACTAGATATCTCTAGATATCTCTAGATAACCCACGTCTGACCCTTCTTGTGGCCAGGGGGCTTGGGAGAAATGAGGCATTTTTAGGACAGAATCTGGTGAGCAGGGAGGCTGGTGGAAGAAAAGGTAGTGGAAGTAGAGCTGAAGGAAGCGTAGTAAGATCTCAAGATCTTATATAATGGGGACAGTCTTTTCACATCTGGCCAGAGCAGAACTGGCAGATGAACTGGCAGAAAGAAGAAGAGTAAATCAACAAAACTATAATGGCAAATTATGGAGAACTGGAAAGTCTATTTTAAGGACCCATCTTAATGATTTAACTTTGTCTAGCTTCAGCATAGCTGTCATGCCCTTAGGCTTTCTTATGCTCACAGCAATATTTGATGTAAGCATTGCTGTCAGCATAACTAAATGATGTAATACTTTGACTCAATGTCCAGCAAAAAAATGATCATTGAATCGTAGAATTGCCAAGGTTGGAAAAGACTTCCAAGATCATCCAGTCCACCTGTCCACCTATCACCAATATTTCCCACTAAAGCATGTCCCTTAGTATAATATCTAAACTTATCTTGAGCAGCTCCAGTGACAGTAATTCCATCACCCCCTTGGCAGCCTGCTCCAGCACCTGACCACTCTTTTGGAGAAGCTGTTTTTCCTAAATTTCAACCTGAATCTCCCCTGATATGTTCTTCTTACTGTGTTCATGTATGGCACCTTTTCACATTGATATCTACCCATTTTGCTTCAATACCTTACCTCTACTATGAACCATCCCTCCTCAGCCACAAGAGTTAGAGGAGACACAAATTTTCCTTTTTTATAGAAAAACCTCTCTGGAATATCCTGTATGTTGTAAACATTCATGTGTTCTACAGCTTTCAATTTTTGATATATCTGAAAAGAAAACAAATGTTAGCACATCACATGGCTATAAAGAGCATCTGCACACCTATAGGTCCATAAGAACACCTAATTTTTTTTAAATGGCTGATCCCCCCTTAGTCATCAGGACATTCAAACTGAAACTTTTCAAGCTCAAAGGTGATGACTATGGAAATTATCCATATAGGTTTTTTGAGGTTCTGAAGACTTGGATCATAAACACATAGAAAACCAGGTCATTATGCGTACTTACAATACCTGCACTCACAGATGTATGCATGTGAGTACATAAACCTAGAGACAGATTAATAAAACCAAACCATCAAGGGAAACCATAAGCTAAACGGTGAAGAGAAATGCTTGGAGGCTCAATGTGGACTCAGTACAGATGAGAAAAAGGAATATTCTCTTTCAGTGAAATCTGCCCTGCGTAGGTGACACTTTTATACACACGCAGGAGATTTGCACTGTCTGACCGGGGTGCTTCAGACATGCACCCAAGGCTGAAACTCCTCACCCTATAAGTAGTTGGGAAGCTGGGCCTCAGCCCGACCTTCCCACCATGGCTTGGACTAGAGAATGCTCCTGTTAACTCACCAGGACTTCTGGTGATTCAGAGTGGCATAACTCTTAACGGTAATACCTCTAGGTTATGATACAATCTAATTCCTGAGCACGATTCTTTAAAGTGAATTAAAATCGCGGAATCTGACTCTTGGGAAACTGAAAATCAACCTAATTTTGTGTGAAGTGGCAGCACTCCAGTCAGAAGTCCTAAAAAGAAATGAAGGAAGAAGAAAAAAACATGGTGTGAAGCACTGTATTTTACTCTTGATGGGGATATTAGGCTATTTAATGAGAGAGAAGCATGTGCTTAACTAGCTTTGTTGGATGAAACCCTGTGTCTCTATGAAGTTGCAACCTACACTTGCCCTTGTTTGAAGGTCTTGCCTACAAAACTAGAGATTGCTGAGTTAAGGCAGAGGAGGACTTTATCAGTGCTGTAATCCCCTGCAGGAACTTGGACCAATGGACTCACACATGCCTCTAAGAAAACCGTCAGTTCTGGCACTAATTTAAAATGTTCACAGTATCCCAGCTATACAAATCCTGGAGAGCCTCTTTGGGTGCAAAAAATTGGCAGATGTTCTCTTCGATAAATTGCATGACTGACAATGCATTGGAATTTGCTAAAATATACTATAGAAAGCAATATTTCTCAATTGGAGTGAGGATTCCCTGCTTGAACATCCATTTGTCTACATTCTGAGGACAACAATAATGACTTGTCAAGCTCTGGATTCTGGTTCAGCTATAACTCACAAATGAATTAGTTACAGATGCAGCATTTTCATTCTTTTCAAGTGGTTTCCATATTTCTTTCTGTATTGTTTTAATTTGTCTCTCAACATCCTGTAGTTCTAGCCTTGAGTTTTAATGATGGATTTCACCCAACATGCTTATTCATCAAAACTCTTCAAAGAGAATATTGTAAAAATGGGCTCTTTTTTTTGGTAATTCTAGTCTATATGAGCTGATTCCTCAGTCTCTAAGGGTATTTACTGGAATAAAGATGCCCGACCTCTTCCAGATTTTTTGCTAAACCCAGCTACTGAATCAGTAAATTGGTTAATATATACAAAATTTTGAAAAAAATCTTCCAGTTATTTATCAGAAGCAAATAGTGGTGGGCTTTGAAAACTCATGCCTGTACCAAATAATAGTGGAACATTATGCTTTTAATTTGTCTGGTGTGAATTCCCTCTAGTAATCTTTGTTACAAGAGCGTAAAGTCACAGGATCAGAGTGGCCGTGGAGAAGAGCCATATTCCTGAGGATGGAATTTGGATGTTACATTCATACTAAAGAAACAAGTGTCGTAAGAATCAAGGAAACATGAAATAAAAAAGACCAGCACCAACAAGCTTCACATACCTCCGTGTGCTTCTCTGGAACTGGCCAAAGGCTCACAACAGGACCTCGGTCCTTCATTTGTATTGTGTCACTCATATTGATGTAGTTTTTCAGTTCGATCACTTTGTCTGTCCAAGAGATGTCTGTCATCCCGTGATCAGAGAACAGGAGGACGTTGACGTCATGCTGAAGGCCCTTGTTCTGTGAAGTGAGTGCACGACAACTATTATGGCCAGGCTTCATGCTGTCTGTGCTCACTGGTATATTTTAAATCCCATTTGACCTGCTTTGATTTTAGTGGAAGTCCATCAGAAGCAGCATGGCCGAAAATATCCTACCTGCAGTGAACTTGGCCACCGCCAATATCAGTGGCTGTCTGCTCTCGTGTGCTGCTCTGAGAGAGCCTAAGGGATTGGCACCAGAAAGAGATTAGCTAAAATACTCTCAACCCCCCACCAAATAGCCAGATTCTACATCCCAGCCCCCAGAAATGGTTGACCACATTAGTCTTAAATGGGATTTTAACCAGCTATTCATTGTCTACAGATCAGAATGGCTGCCACAGTACCACCAAAGGTCTTTCCCACTTCCTCTCCTAAAACAGTCACTTGGTGTTACAAGTTTATAATTTTGTGAAAATGGAAAAATATATTCCTCTCTCTGCAGAAACACATAGAGAACTCTAATGTGTACTTAGCACCATGAAAAGAGAGCAGAAGTATCCATAGAATTGACATTTACCCAAAAGCTTGTTATCTTCTTTTCTCACCACAAAATAATTTGGATAACATTTTTAAGCAAAGCTTCATGTACAGAGTTCTGAGTGGTACCATAAAAACTACCATTAAAGTTAATTGTCAGATTTCATAAACCTTACAAAATGAGCTGTTCTGATTCACTCACCCACTGTAAATTCCAGCCAGCAACATGAGTTATAAACAGCCACACGTAGGTTGGTGTATGGCCTCCTGGGGCTATGGGGGTAACAATCCACTAGGAGGATTGTATCACCATCTACAACAATATGCATCAGGGGAATGGTGTCTTACCTTCCACATGGTATCAAGAGCCTCTCCTTTGAAGGAAATAAAAGTTTACTGCCAATACGCCCAATTAACAGGCATTAAACAGGCTCTTCACAGTGCCACAAAGAGCAGTTTTTAAAGCTTTTTGAAGGCTGTGTTATGGTCTCAATTAATTACCAGCTTTGAAAAGGTTTCTCTAACAACTCCTGTTGGAATGGCAACATTACATACACTTTGGGAAGAGGCACAGGTAATTCTGGGCCACACGCATGGCCAGCACATGCTGGAACATGCAGAACAGCAGATGCTGGTACTGTCATTACTACAGAGCAACAGATCACAGCACAAAGAAAAGCAAAATGCCTCCAGAACTCGGTTTTCCAATGCCACTGACCTTAATCTGTGTGATTATGTTGCTCATGGCTTTGTCCACCTCCTTCAAAGCACTCTTCCGCTGCTCGGACCAGGGGCCATAGTGGTGGCCTTCCACGTCGATGCGCTCGTAGTACACAGCTGCCATTTCAGCGCTGCCATTGCTGGAAGTTGGAGGGAAGATGAGAGGATGATGCGTGTGGGGATGGTCTGGGAGCCTTCATCTCTTAGTAGAGTTAACATAGTTCTCCTCACCAGCACTTAGAGCACTGGAGCCCTCTGCTATGTCTTCAGATTAGAAAGGCAGCTTGTCACTTAATGACAGACTGAAAAAATACTGACTTCTGTGCTCAGTGTCCTTTTTAAAAGGACTGTGGGAACTACAAGTAAAATATGCTTTAATTACAGTTTGATTCTTCTGGCTTTCTCCTGTGTGAGGTCTTCCAAACCACTTACGTCAACAAAGGACAGGCTCTTCCGTGACCCTACAGAAACCCACATAGTGCAATTTGGGGTGAGATTTTAGATGGAGTTTTTGTTCAGGAATCTGATCAATGAGTGGAAGAAAACCAGGGTGATCTCAGGGTTGCACAAGGTTGGTTGGTTACATATTTTTGCACTGAATGCCCTTCAGCCCAATTAGTAGCACATACATTAGTTCTTAATTACATTTTCATGACCACTCTACAGTTCACTGCAAAGCTTGCTGAGAGCAGCTCTGTGGATAAAATCACAAATTTGTGTTCAAGAAGTTCAAACACAGTCTTTTTCTATAGTACTTAATATGTGAGAGGTTGTGCCATCTACAATATATGCCCTGATCCAGATCAGGATCCTTACAAGAGGATTTTGTGTGATGATCTAACAGGTCTGGGTTCTCTTATTAAAGACATGCTGGTAGTCTGGGGTGAAGAGTTAGACAGAAGACAAAAAATGGAGGTGAAGGACTGAATGAATGAAATTAGGAGCTATCATTTACATTTGTGAGTTTGTAGAAGAGCCGTCCTGTAGGCAGCTGAACAAACCACGTCTCTGCCTTGGTGGGAACATCTCTGTCAGTCATCCTACGTGGTTTTAAAACCATTCAGAAGCAGCAGTCCTCTCCACACTCAATTTCATTTTAAGTGTTACTTTCCATCTAAGGCACAAATTAATTTCTAAAATGTAACCCTGTAACTTCTGTGCTGGATATGCCCTCCCTGAATTTCTTTAAACAGTTTTCTTCTGCAGCAGTGCCTGTTATTTCACTGCTGAAACTGCTTTGGCTTCTCATTTGCAACTAAAAGACCATTTGATCTAGACAAAAACCAAGAAAAATCTTGACTGAATAAAACAAAAGGTCTTTCTTAGACCATGGTGAGATTTCTCAATGAGGGCTCAGTGCTCTAGTGATGCATGTTGAACCATACCCAGCGCTTCAATGTATGTTAGTGCTGTTTTCTCCTATCATCAGTAAATTTCAAAAGAAATTGATATGGAAAACTTGCTAAGGAAAGCTGAACAGCATCTATAATTGTACCAAGAAGGGTTTTATTTTATTAACACCCTTTATAGGCACCACACAACCTTCATGGAAACAGCCCTGAAGTTCTAGATGGGGAAGAGACATAAGGGAGGCTTTAGGGAAAGAGAAAGGAACCCAGGCAGAAATTCTAGAGGGGATAACGCGCAAACAGAAACAGTTCAGAGACCAAACCACCCTCAGCTCCTGCAGGATCTGTAGGATTTGGGCCCTATGGGAAGCTTGCTGCAGACAACACGGTAACATAGATTTGCCCTCTTTCTGAAATGGCTGGCTCTCACCTCTTGCAAGCTGCCCTGCCCACACTTGCATATCCCTGCTTTTCTCACTGCCAGCTGCAGCAAATAACCTCATGACTCCAGGTGAAATAGCTATTGAAACATTTTCAATGGATTTTCACACGTTCTGAGACAGCTTCCCTATAAGCCTTCTGCTGTAAATGGCATTAATTTGCAAGCACCTCTATCTGTATATGCAAGCATCAGGAAGCTGCATGCAGCTGGAAGCCATATCCCCAGCAGCTCTCCCATCATTTTGGAGCCTTTTTGTCAAGGGCAAATAACCCTCAGCATCTGCATACTAGACTTTTCAGATTCAGTTGTGTAGGGGATGGAACCAACAAGATTTTAAATGAGGAAGCAAAGGTAAGGCTTAGGCTACCCACATAGTGGTGTAGTCTCAACGCATGTAATTTTACAAGCTACAAGGAATTCTTCCTTGCTAACCTTTGGATAAGAGATGGTGCAACTCGAATGCTGGGTGTGGAACATGCTGCTTTCCTAAGAGCCAGCTGAGAGATGTCTTATCATAACACTCGTATTTACACAGAATCAATGCCTAATCCAAAAGAATTGTGCCTCAGATGTTTTAAAATGCAGAAGGAGCCAAAACACTGTTCTTGTAAACAAGGGATCAGAGCTGAATGTCTTCAGAGCGCTCTCTAAATCTTTGTATTTCAAAGTCTACTACTGCAGGTCAGAGGAGAGATTCTCACAGCCTGATACTGAAGTTGTTTGGAACAATAAGTCAGGTTGTCTCCTCTGTGTTGTAACCTACTCACAATAAAAAGGAACATGTGTTTCCCTCTGACCTTCCCGTAACTCTCTGTTCCTGTATACAGTCATGTTTCTATGACAGTATTATAATCTACTCTTGAATCTCATCTTCCTATGTGGAAGCTAATCCTGAAAATTGCCCTAGAGCTCCTAGTAAACCCAAATATTCACTTTTAGGAAAGGAAAGAACTTCTGCAGAACTTTAATGACGTACCGGAGAGCCTCGAGAGCATCGCTGATAGCATCCGCAAAGTTTTGGTCTGATGGGACACTGAAGTATTCGCGGCAATAACTTGGTCTGACTCCAAGGATTTCAACCTCACAACCTATGAATGAAAAATGTGATATGTTCTGCAGTTTCACCTTCGTTTCAGACCCCACAGACTGCTATTCACAGTAAATTCCCTGTGACATTACTTACCTTACACCTTCCATGCTGGAAACTTTGCAGTTGGGAATGGAAAAGGGGAGAGAGCTTTGCTGGATGAGTGCTTGCAGCAAATGGAACATTGGATCATTTTATTTCCCTCTTTAAAGGGAAAGCATGACCTTCCAAGGACACAAAACTCTGGTGCCCTCATGGCCCATCAATTCCACCTAAATCACTCGCTTGTTTCCATCTTAACTGCTCTGGCCACATATCCTCATTTCCAGACTTCCAACACCGTAGATTTAGATGACGTTCCCTCGAAGGTTGGCAAATATTTTCCACTTAGACACATTGCATCTTACATCATAATATCCTCTATAAAACGTATTTTATTATGTGATTCTGGCACTCCCTATTAAATCTGTTTCCCGGGAGATCTTGTTGAAACAGTATAAACCAATTAACTCTCCTGGTAACTTGCAGCCTTCCTTGCAAAATACAGTCCAGAAATTTGTGGCAACAAATCCTACAGGAGAACACAGCCCTGAACACACAAAAACTTGTTTCTGTGGTTTTCTGCCCTTTTGCTCTCTGGTTCCTGTGCTGATGAATAACATTAATATTTAAAAGAACAGAGCTTTCAGAAACACTGGATTCATGCAAAATATGTTTAGAGAACCCCAGAGTGCTCCCATCAGAGCTATGTATTTACTGGTAGGTTACTGGGGCGCAAGAGAAAAAATAGATCTTTTGAAAAATGTACTTTGTATACAGCAATACCATCGGGTCAAAAAGGCAACTCTAAGTGGTACACTGAATCTGCCTACATTTAGGTCACTATGCCATTCCTTTGGGATGAAAGAGAGGCTTAAGGACCGTCAGAAGCCGATACATTGGCTGGGAGGAATTAAGGAGGTGTAAGTCTAGAGAGAGCACTAGGGCAAATTGTAGAGCTCTTCTCCGAGACATTTCACAGTGTTTTGATCACTGGAACATTCAGCAAAGAGAAATTGTCTGTGTCATGCACCTCAGCCTGCAGAAGCTCATATTGCTGAGATGCAATACTGGGATACAGGGAAAAGAAAACATCTTGCAAAATAAGTTGACCAAGAGACCTGGTATTGCAGAGCGAGTCGCAACAGGCAATTGCAAGGGATGTAGTATTGCAACAGATGAAATACCACACCTTTTGGCTTTGTTCAGTTTAGGCTGTCCATACTACGTCTCTCCTGTTTAGGCAACGACTTGTTAAAAACAGGTCTTTGGTGACTGGACAGCCTACTTTTAGGAACCTGATGCTTTTGAATGCTACCAAAACAGCCAGCAAGTTTGAAGGGACATCCAGTTTACATGCTAAAATGCTGGGAGACAGATTTCTAAAGGATCTAACTCTAGTCCAGTTTCTTCTGCTACAGCAGTCATTCCAGTCTTTTACATCTTCAGTTCTGGCTAAGCACGTACCTATCAGCAGGCCCATGTAATTAATATGGTTGCACGCCTCATACGACATCTACATGGAAGGGATTAGAGCCAAAGAAATTCTTACAATCAGAGGTGTAAAATCTAGTTGCTCAAATGCATTCTTCTGCATGATGTCCTAGGTGCTGCCAGCAGCAAAACACAAGCTTTTAGACACCTCATATACTAGAGGCAATGCAGTAATCCTCTTTGGTTTTGCTAGCATTTCAGGACTGAACTGGAACTTCACAGCCAGTTTCCTCTCTGGCAGAAGGGAAATCTTGGAAAAGACTGGATCCAAAGCCATTCTTCTAGTAAGGACATGTTTGGAAACACAAGGCAGTCATGGCTAACTTGAGAATTGATGCTTAGAATTCTAGATTAGATGGATAGTTGCTCATAGGTTGACTTTTCCTCTTCAGATACTGACACTAGATTATAATTTTCTCAGATATTGTTCTCCAGAATTACTCACATAATAATTTTAACCTGGACGATTTTATTTGCTCTGATATCTTTGCTATTTCTGGATTGTCAAGGGATGAACATGACGTACGAGCCTACAGAAGCAGCAAAAATTAGAGGTAAGTTTTGGCCTCTTCAGTGGTAAATGAGAAAGAACAAGTGGACAAAAAACGTGGAGTTCATTGACAAGTGTTCTGTTTCGTTTGTTTGTTTAGGGTTTTGTGGTTAGGTTTGCTGTGGATTTTTTGCCTCTGTACGGAACTAAACAGATCTTAAAATTGGATTTGTGGTGTTCAGGCTTGTTAAAATTCCAAAGCACTGGCCTCTGAAGACCCTCTAGTAATTACATTGTATCTTGGTAGAGGCTAAGACAGGTGGTAAATTTTTTCATTTAAATATAATGGGAAAGGATATTGGAAAGCATTTGGAGCCAGCCAAAGGGAATGTTAAACTTTTCTTGGTTCAAGTACAAATAGATGAGTTGTATGTGCTGAGATCTAACATTGAATATCTTTCTGCATAGTTTTGTAAAGGAAATTAAACCTTTATTTCAAAACTTCAACTTCTGGAGCAGTAATAAAGAATTCTTTCGCAATGATACATACGCTCTATCTGACATTGAGACTTGAGCCTCTGCCAATTTTAAATTGTGTTTCTAAACATTAATTTAACAGTTGGACACTTCATGTCATAACAGAAAGTTTTGACAACTTTCCAGACTAGCTCCATGGTCTGGAAAATGTGCTCAAATGACAAAAGGTTGGATTTGGAGTTTATTTTTCCCTTTCTCTCATTTCAGCATTTAGAAAAGATGTCACTGCACTTCAGCTGAGGCACACAACGCTGAAAAATGAACCTCAATATGGTGTTAGCTATTGTGTTTTTCTGAGTGATCAAACATTCAGAGGATACACAACTTTTTCCCCAGGAGTGCCTTGAAGAGCAGATGATGCCTGATAAACACACAATGCTCATCTATGAAGCAAGACTGCTGTTGCCATTAATAAAAAACATCTCTACAAGCCAAATGCTTACCACGAGAGCTTTTGGCACAAGCAGCACTGGGACACTCAGTGCAGTGGAGTTTTGGATCCTCTGCTTCTAGGTCTAGGATGGCCCAAATTAATTCTGCCCACTTGGCTGTGTTTACGCTCAGATGTGGATATGATTAAATGAATGTTCACATTCAACAACCCATTGCTTGGTGTCCCCTTGTTTTGGGGTTTAGATTTTCTTTGTCTAAACACTGAATATGCACACCAGTGCAAGAGAGGGAAAGATATGAAGCAGCAGATTTCGGGTTCCAAATTTGGAACTGGGACTGCTGAGGAAATGGTAGTGAAGTAAGTTGGCCCTGGGAATTAGCTCTCTGGCATTTACTACACATCTCCATTACATTTGATCACTCTTGTTTGGGTCATTGTCTTCAATGACTGCTAGCTAGAGAGAAAATAGCATCTTGCAGAACAAAGTGCAGTGAATTTGGCACTATCCTGCTGTTCCTGCTAACAAACAGCAAAGAACATGCACCACCAGGCTTTTTGTTCCAATAAAGGAGTTTGAGAACAGGTTTCAGGATTGCCAAAAAAGTGATCAGTTTATGTTTGTGACATCATTTTCAGTTGATATAAATAGATGACCTGAGAACTTTCAAATAGAATGTATAGACTTGCAATCAGATGTTCAACTCAAAAATCTGATCATGTCTCTTCACCAGACTTTCATAAGCCCTCTCTTACCAGAGAGAAATATCCTTCACTTCACAACCACACCTTACTCATGTCATCGCCCTTGGCAGCGTGCACATTTATGAAAAATTGTCAAGGATGAAGCAGAGGAGAAATAGAACTTCATCAAAAATCTCAGACAAACACCTTGAGATCTCACTAAGAATTGCAGCTGCCACCATCAAGCCCACCTGACGTGTTAGTTTCACAGCAACAAGGTCATACGTCCTACTGATTTTATTCCTCGCTTTTTTTAATGTTTAAAAAATATATATTAAAGATAAAATGTTTTGCTACTTCAATAGTAATTATATTGTATGTTGTATGAGGGTTGCTCTGAAAGTAATGCCTCCTGTTTTATTACATTAGCTTATGGTGTATGAGGCAAATGGTGGTGGTATGGCAGTAGAGGTTGAACATTCACACCAATATTCTGTTACATGTTGCTGTCATATGACAGATGGCAGCAGATGGGCACTCTGACAAAATGGTGCCTGGCATGGAAGTGCCTACAAAGCAAAAGGGTGTCATTGAATTCCTCCACATGGAAAAAAAAAAAAAACATTCATTGATACTTTCTCAGTGCTTTTGGAGACCAAACAGTGGGTGCTAGCACAGTGAGGTAGTGAGTGGTGCGTTTCAGCAGTGGCAACAGTGATAGTAGTTCACAATCTTCACCCCACTGGTGAAGATTGCTGTGAGCACAGCAAACAGGCTCTTGTTCATCGCTGGTGAAAATGCACAGCTGATGGTGGTGGCTATGTTGAAAAAGAGTGTTTTGGGAGTTTCCTTTACCAAATAGTGTTACTGTGCTCTTTGTATTGGTTGCAGTTTCTACAGAAATAAATAGGAGGTATTACTTTTGGAGCAACTGTATGTTCAGCCCAAGACAATTCCTCTTTGCTCAATGTGGCCCAGGCAGGCCAAGAGGTTGGATATTCATGTTCTATCTATTCTGTCATTCCAATCCTTTGAGAACACAAGCCAATCTTGCCACTCTCAGAGCTTTTCTCTCTGGCTAGCTTTTCAACCTCTTTCATCTTGGTTTGCTCCTCCTTCCCATTCCTAAAACTGTTCCTTTCTCCTGGAGAGTACACTGAGACGGCAGAGTTGGGCTGGCTGGGAGCCTTAGTGATTTCAATAGTCCAGTACCCAACAAACCAGGAATGCAAAGGCCAAATCCCTCCAAATTGGTGGCTCATGCTTGGAGAAACTGACCTCAGGAGAGCTAGTGATGAGGAAGATGAGAATGGTGTTCACTCCTGCTCACCAATAAATGCTTTGCTTTCCACTGGGGATTTTGCTACTTTCATAATACAAGTTGATAGCCTTCAGTTCTCAGCTACTAAGTTTCAGGTTAAAAACAAATAAACATTGGGAAAGGATGGTTACTATTTAGCTTGGATCAGTGATATGGTCTATGGCATTGCTCTGCACAGCAGGGATACAGGTGGACTGAAGGCAGGAGCAGCTGGGGATGAAGCAGATGCTCTGCAAGCCAACAATGGCCCTAAAGATAATCTTTGATGGAATATTACTTCCTTGTAACACCTGAGTCGTTTTCTCTTCTAAGCCATAGGAAATCTGCAATCTGCCTATGGCTTAGAAAAGAGAATTCATTTCCGTAAGTGATTAGTAAAGTATTCTTGCTTCAGAGCTGTAGTGCATGAAAAAGCCACCCTATGGAGTACAGAGTGCTTAAAGATACATCCATAAAGACTCTGTATATTTAGTGCACACATGACCTTGAAATGGATCTTGAAAATCTCCTTCCTATTATACACCACATTAAAACAAACAGGCTTCTCCTTCCTATTATACACCATATTAAAACAAACAGGCTTAATTTAGGAAAACTGGTATTAATTTTTGACATACTAACCTGGCCAGTAGTACATGAAAACATTCTTTTTTTCTTTCATCATTGTGACCCACAAAGGCTCCGATCCATTCCACCAGAGAGGTAGGAGGCTTTCTTTATTCACACCAATATCGAAAGAAACATTCATCTTCTGGTCCCACATGTAGTTTCCAATCATCTGATGAACCTCACAGTGGCGACCTTTGGGGAGGGAGAATAAAAAGAGCACCGTCAGACCTACATTCTCCAGCAGAAAGATGCCACCAGCAGCACACCCCTGTTACCACCTGCTCACTCAGCAAGTCAGCTGAAAAGATGCCTCTGGAAGGATAAATGGTATGGAAAGAATGTGTAGCTAGGTCAGCTGGAATCTGCCAACTTTTAAGGACCTGTGGTCAGAAGGGACTCTCCCAGCTCAAACAACTCACTGTAGCAGCAGCCACAGAGGTGCCATGTGTTGGGCTGAGCTCTGGCTTCTCTGCATACAACATCTGCCAGGTCTGAGACTATTTTAAGACATCTGCCCACACGCAGCCTCAGTACCGCAGTATGTAACAGGAAAGGATAGAAGTGTGATCTAGAATTCTAGAAGGAATTTCAGGAAACTCACATTTGTCCTCTGCTTCATCTAGTGCGTGCATTGCTCAGTGCTGGTACTTAAGACAACAGAGTAACAGTTCTCAGAATACAGGAAAAAATAATAAAGAGCAAGGCCGCCATCCTTCAAGTGGCCTAAAAGTTGCACATTGGCAAGGAGAGAGGGAATCAGGCAGGACACAGCCGGTGCAAGCGGCCCTCTCCATCCTCCATGCTGTCCCACTAAACCAAGTACTCGCTTCCTTGGGGCTCTTTTTGTCACCAGAACCAGCCAAGAGGCCCCCTACTCCTGGCTGCAAGCTGCAGACCCACAGAAGGTCCAGATGTGCAACCAGGGTGGGGCCCTTCCAGCCTATTTGTTTGAAGGGTCCCTCTCTCCTCTTTGAAATAATCCATGGTCCACATTGGTTTTCCTCATACAAGTCAGAAATAGGCTAAAACCTTTACATACTACTTAAATTTCCATTACTGTTTGCTGGTACTGTTGTGGTTTTTAAAAACATGAACATGCTTTGTTCTTAACTCTTGGACAGCACTCATTGCATTAGATATTTTTAAGCCCTCTTACTGCACACTGGGAGTACTTGGGCAACTTTCTATTACAAGACACTAGTATGTATTGGTTGAAAGCTGCCTTATCGCTGTCAGAAGATACAGTACAGTAAGAGTTAATCTGCAAGTGAGCTAATAAAAATGGAAAAAGAAATGTTAGAGATTAAGTTGTACTGGAAGATAATGATTTCCTCATCTTAAAAAGCAACAACTAACGTATCTGTGAGGCACCACCATCATTACCTGGTGACTCATGGCATTTCAAGGATCCAGATTACAGACATTGATTACCGTGAGAACAAGCATGGTGAGCAGAACTGAAATAACCTCAGTATGCTTGTTTTAAAAAAGCAGAGGACTCTGTATATTTAGTGTACACGTGACCTTGAAATGGATCTTGAAAATCTCCTTCCTATTATATACCACATTAAAACAAACAGGCTTCTCCTTTCTATTATACACCATATTAAAACAAACAGGCTTAATTTAGGAAAACTGGTGGACTGGAGGGGAAGTAATCTGTCCTCCTCAGGCTGCCAAGAACTTACTTCACTGTAAATCTAAAAAAAACACCAGTAGGAAGCCTCTGTAGTGCCTCAAAAATGAAAGTTTCTACTTAGAGGACAGCCTCGTCTCTTCAGCTCCTCGAAGCCCACATACTCCCAGCCATATATCAACCTGCAGAGCCAGCAACTGCTGCCAGCCCCAGAAACCTGCAGGTTGGGCTGAAGCTGGGAGGTCACGCATCTGTTTGATGCACAGTACAGCTTTCATAGAAAAACAATGAGCTCCAGCTGCTACTGATGTCAGCCCCCTATAGGATTTGAGGTCTACTGTCAGTTGGCTCACCTCTTTAAGGAACAGAGCAGAGATTGTTCTTTGTAGCGTTGTTGCAAAGTTTCATTATGTGTATGCAGCAATACAAAGGACAGTATCCTGAACACCACATTAGATGAGTTAATTCTTCTATAGACTCCAGCTCTTTTTACACAAAAAAAGATACTTACAAGATTGTAAGGCAGCAATTTTCAGTGTTTTAAGAGAAATGTGATTCAGTTGCTGTTTTGGAAGCATCTGCAGTGCATGCCAGACTCCAAAGTACTTCTATATGCTGCTAGTTGTGCTCCTGGAGAACCTCTACAGCAACAAATAATTGCAATACACACACAATATAAAGCATGGAAAGATTCAAACTAATCTTATTTTAAGGGATGATATAAATATTTTTCAAGTTTACAGACTTACAGGGCCAAGAGGGAACACCAGATGAGCAGACAGGACCATGTAACACTACGCAGAGACATTCTGCTTGCCTGGAGATGGTGTCCCAGGCAGACCTCAGATTTCCTTGGAAGACATCAGTAGCCAACTAATCAATCTCTTCCTTGCATTGTTCATCCCAATGTTCATCATCAAGAAATGCCATTCAAAAAGCATGCCTGCTCTCTAATTTGATTTTTGCCCTGTGTTAATCTTTAGCCATGGCACTTTCATGCCTCACTCACTAGATTAAAAAGCCTTGCAATAGCTAGGATTTCTATTCTGAAGACACTTATACATGGAATTAAGGTCATTTCTCAAATTTATTTTGAGCCACATGTGCAGCCCAAGTTTTTTTTACATCCTTTGCTGCAATTTATTTCCCCCAGCCTGAGAAAATGACCTCTGGTGATCCCTCTTTTTAACAATTGTCAAAATAGTAACGTGTTGTTACGTGGTCACCATAGCATGCTGAGTTTATTATTGATTCCATTACTGCTACTTTCCTCTGTATTCAAATATTAACTTTAGAGTTTCAGAAGAAGGAACAGGGCAAAACTCAAATACAGTGGACAGATGTCATGAGTTAAAGTCACTGCAGTTGCAGTAAAAGAACAACCCTTCCTCAATTAACAGAGAAAATGAAAAAACATACAGTTCCTAGGACTATAACTGCTGTATCCTTCTGGAAGAGAGCCAGGAAAAGGAACTGAGTTCCTCCATGAAAACTCTGTGCACAAGTCCTGTAAGTTTCTACAGTGGAGTAGAAGAGATCTCCCAAGCTATCGTGCTAGTCTGTAGAATTGCATGATGTCTCATATCATTGATTGCTGCCTAGCCCTGGAATCACACTAATCCAGAGGTGAGTGATTAGTCCATGAGAAGTCAGTGGGAACCCTTATCCTGATGAAACTGCCCTACCACCTGCAAGTCCCCAAGCAAAAACAGTTCATGCAGGATGTGAGCAGACTATTTATGCTCCCAGAAGAGCCTGTTGGCAATGCCTCTCCATTTTTTATGGCCTTCAGGAACATACTGATCCAAAGCTGAAACACTGTAGCCTATATCAACCCAGAACTTGACATACAAGAAGTTCACACCAAAAGACACAAAAATCTGCTATGTGCAGCATTTATTTATTTATTTCTAGAGGGGATTAATTGATCTGCAACTCCTGTGCCTCAGCAGCCTCAGATTTAAGCGGTTTGTGGACTGGAGCACAGCACTGTGCAGAGCTGCTGGCTGCACCATTAGAGAGGGATATATTTTAATGTAGCAAGCTCAAAAGAAAAAAAAAAAAAAAGAAAAAAAAAGAAAAAAAAAAAACAACATAAAAACTAGGTTCTTCAAAATTCTCTTATCTTTGGCTTGTGTAAGAGCTTGCTTAGGTGATGAACAGAAGATGTTCTCGTGCTTTCTGGGACCAAGCTGGAGCTCAGGTTCTGTTTAACCTGACAGCAGAAACAAGACATCCACTGAAACCTTCACCAGCAAAAATGAGAGCCAGGTCGTTTGAGTACTGCAGTACTAACCACTACACCAGTGTATGTAGCTCTGCAGTTTGAAAGCGAGAGAAAGAGCAGGTTCCAAAGTGAAACATACTTTCTCAGCTCCCAGAGAGTGCTGTGGTGGGGTAGTGGCTGTGTTCACATTTTGCTGGTGTTGGCCACATTCCCTGCTGACAGAACTTAAAGGGCACACTCGCAGTGGTGACAGTTAATAATTAAGCATGGCAATCCCTATCCTCCATCTGTGCTGGACAGCCATGACTTGCGCTGCCTGGAGAAGGCACCAGACAGGGCTCCCTGCAGGTACTGTGTGGATGTTAGGCCTGCAGTGCCATGCTGTAAGCCAGGAGACCACCACAGGATAAACGTGCAGGTGAGGGTGAGCAGTTCTGCATGGCACACCAGCAGCACACTGTACAACAGGATTGGCTGTACTGGCAGGAAAATGGGAGTACACTGAGCTATAGCAGTGGAACAGCTCTGTAAAGACCATGGACATGAACATGGGATTCAGAAGACCTGAGATGCCCTCTGCTCCACCTCCTCCTCTATCTCATATGATCCATGGGGTCTTGCAGCCTCCTTGCAAGAACAGACATCTCAGAAGAGAGGCATGGAAGCTGCTCATCCACTGCTCTCCGTGCACCCATTTCCACCATCAGGATCTCTATCCACTATGCTGCCCATAGAGGCCAAGAGGCCCACAGCCCCTCACAGCCACCAGAAAGGCTCGCATTTGTTGTTGGGATCTCAGAAAATGAATCCTGTCCCTGTCTCCAGCTCAGGCACAGTGCTGATGTTTACACCAGCTGCAGATGGTGCAGGCCTGGCCTCAGCCATGCCAGAGGGACTGCAGAGCTGGGGTGCCCCAGCAGGACCAACCGCCTGTGTCTGCCTCTAAAACTCTGCAACGTAAGCAACTTTTCTCCTGAGAAAGGGCATGCACAGCTCCCCATATGACTCCTATTGTGAATGGAGACCTCAGATTTTCCATTTACTTTGGCAGGAAACCTCCCAGCAGAACCATGCCAAGACAGAGAAAGGAAAGCACTAAGCACTTTCCATAGGATAAGATCCTGAGGTGGCTTGTGATCTTAACTCCTTTCTTTGCAAAACAAAACAACACAGGGTGTGACTAAGTGAGTCTTTTGGATGGGCAAATCTGCGTTCCTTCTTCCCTCTGTGGCCAAACCCACTTCTAGTCCCGCAGAGCTCCTTCCAACAAAGCATCAGTGATATTTTTTGCCTATTTCACCACTAATGTGATGCTTTCCATCACTAACACGACCCCGCTTCTCCCCAGTGGGTATATTTGCATATACTTGGATTGCAGGCCATGTGAGCACAACAACTGTCTTCCAGCTTACTCAGTGATAGCAGATTTATAAAGTCAAAGATTCTAGTTTACACAATTTCAGGGTGCCATTAAATTTGTAGAAGGGGATCAAGTATCTAGAGAGCTTTTGTCACTTTTATAAAATTTGCCTTGAAAACTTCTTGCTCTAAGGCATCATTTTTTCTATAGTATTTTTATTCACAGCTTTGGTCACTGATTCAAAGGGTATTTGCCCACAACAAGGATATTTCTGTTGCCAGAATGCCTTCCTGCCTGTGCTAATTTCTTGTCTGCAATCACAGAACTCTGTGATAGTAGAAAAAAAAAGAAAAAAGAAAAAAACCTATCAAGCTGCAATATCAGATATGGAGAATGGTAAATTAGGACACCAGGTAGGATGTAGATTAGCAGCAGAAGAATTAGGGGAAGAACTAATTTAGTATGAGGAGGATCAACATGGAATAGTATTGTCTTAGGATGACTCAAATTTGAGGATTAGCAGTAAAGATTTTCTTCTCTTTACTCTCTCTCTATAATGAGCAGTCCCACCTCTGGCAGGGATCTACGGCTTATTGCACTTAACAGCCCAAACCTCTGGCCTGGTCACATTTCAGCCTGGTGGTTGTCATCCTACCCCATCATTCCCTGAATGCATCGGTTTTAGCGACTCATAATCCTCCATTTCACCACCATAGGTTTTCAATTAGCTTTCCCATCACTGTCATGCAGTGTGGCATGATCACAGAAAGTCATCTCCACACTTCTCAACATTTAACAGCTCTTTCACCAAGACTCTGTGTACTGCATTACCTAAGCTGTGTGCTCTTTCTCCCACTGCAGCTAGTAAGTATTGCCAGCAAAATGGGGTGTGTTTCATGTTGCTTGTTAGTGCTTTTTAGATCCATGCCTCTTCATCATCAGTTTTTGGTTAGACCATCTTTTGCTAAAGCTCAGAGAACTCTCCCTTGGTAGACTGATGGTTAGTCTTGGTAATCCTGAAGGTCTTTTCCAACCTAAATGCTTCTCTGGTTTGAACCACCCCCCTCCAGGTGCATAAAGCTCACACAGACACTTGGTGAAGGGCAAAGCACAGAAAGGAGAGACCTTGTTCATGAGAATGGAAGGAGAAAGAAGGAAACGCATCTCAGCTGCAGTATCTCATGCCTAGGCTCTCAGTGAGCCCAGAGTAGGGCTGCGAGCATGCCTGTGTGGATGTGGTTCCTCACAGGCTAGTGAATGCACAGGGAAAGAAGGGACAGAGTGCTCAGAGTGAGAGGTGGGATGTAAGGAACAAATAGGGCTGTGAACGTACAGATGTTTCTCAAGCTGATTTACTGAATATAAGCCTATGGATTATGAAAGTGCTCTTAGAAATGCTAAGATACAGCAACTTGAAGGTTGCTCGTGATACAGCAGCTCAGGCAAGACATACAGATTAGACTGACCTTGTAGTCCCTGATTTCTGAGAACAAACTAGTAACCATTAAGTCCTGCATGTGCCAGTTTCTAAGGGAAGAATAGTCAGTTACAGGCACTCCCACAAATTGCAGTGTCCGATGTGAGATCAGATTGGACATGGCTGGACAGCATACAGCTTCACCCCCACCAGCAGCACTATGTCTACCTTCTGCCTCAGCACCTCCTAAACCTGATAAAAAGGGTATGGGTGGACAGCACCTTGACATCAGCCAGCAATGTGTCCTCACAGCCCAGAAAGCCAACTGTATCCTGGGCTGCATCAACAGAAGTCAGCAGGTCAGGGAGGTGATCCTGCCCCTTTGCTCTGCACTGTGAGACCTCACCTGAAGTAATGTGTCCAGATAGGGGGGTTCTCATACAGGAGAGTTGTGGATGTGTTGGAGCACATCCAGAGGAGGGCCACAGAAATAATCCAAGGGATGGAGCACCTCCCTATGAAGACAGACTGAGAGAGCTGAGGCTGTGCAGCACAGAAAAGAGAAGGGTCTGGGGAGACTTGAGAGTAGCCTTTTAGTATCTAAAGGGGGTCTCTAAGAAGGAAGGGGACAGGCTCTTTAGCAGGGTCTGCTGTGACAGGACACGGGGAAACGGTTTCACACTAAAAGAGGGGAGATTTGGATTGGATATAAGGAAGAAGTGTTTTACACTAAGGGTGGTGAGGCACTGGCACAGGTTGCCCAGAGAAGCAGTGAATGCCCCATCCCTGGAGACAGCCAAGGTCAGGCTGGACGGGCTCCGAGCACCTGATGGAGCTGTAGGTGTCCCTGTTCAGTGCAGGGGGTTGACCAGATGGCCTTTAGAGGTCCCTTCCAACTCAAAAGATTCTATGATTCTATGAAACATACACCTACACTCCGAGTGCTCAGGAACAGTCTCAGATCTTCCTCTGGGCTTGTTTGTCACCTAAATCCAGTCCTCATTTCTTGCTGACTGTTTAACAGTGCTGTGGCTCATGCACCACAAATGTTAATTACTGTTTGCAGGTTATTTCTATTTGCATGGAGAGCCATGTCATGAAGGTCAGGAGACTTCAGACAGTGTGTGAGACAGAGCTCTATCTCATGACTTCATACTAGAAACTGGTACCCTAGAACATGACAAGTCTGGTAGGCATGCTTCATTGCCTAAAACAAAACCCTTTGTGAGTACTAAACCCTTCAAAGGGTTGATGATGGACTTCACTCTACACACATGCACTTAACCGGTGTGATGACAAATTGTGGTAAGGAGAGAAAGCAGCTGCTCCCTGTTTCCCTTAGTGACTTCATCCACAGGCTTTTCACAAATAAGAAGTAATGCATACACCTAAATGAAATGCTCCACAGTGGAGTGGCAGACTTAAATTAACAGTTTTCAACTTCTATTTTTTTTTTTTTTTTTTAATTCATAGTTGAAATGAGCACTGATAGGCATTCCTCTCAAGATGGAGAGGAGAGAGTTAAGCGGTTTCAAAACAAGCTGGGCACCACTGATGTCAGGTCCTGTCTTACAATGGCATCTCTTTGCCCTCCCAGCAAGCAGCATACAGACTGCTGGGCTGTGCATTGTTCTGCAGGCAGCAGAAGATGCCACCAACCCAGGAGGAATTGGACTTCCTCACTGTTCCCAGATAGCTGAAAGGCCCTGTTTGTCAAATCACCACAGAGAAAGGATCTGATCTGAAACTCCAGAAAAACTTTTCTGGCTCTTTATGTACTTAGATTTTGGCTCCAGGGTGCCTTTATCCAATAGGGATGGTGCAGCTGCACCCTGCATCTTCCTAGTGCCTCTGTCCCTCCGTCCCCCCCCTCACTACACATGCCTTTTTATTGACTGAAAACTGGCTGAGCAGCCCCGTGCTCACTGCTTTCCGCTTATTTCTGCGTTTAGAGCGCAGCAGGCAAGGCGAGGAGCCCTGCATCGCTGTAAAACCCTCTCTGAGCAGCGTTCCCGGCTCGGGACCGCTCTGGTTATCCTCTCACCTTCAGCAGCAGCACTAAGCTGCGTACCTTCAGGCTCCCGGCTAACAGCACGACGGGGCACTCACAAATGCTGTATACGGAAAGGTAGGCGAGACATCCTCTGCCTCTGCGCGGAGCATCGCGGCAGCAAATCACTCACCCGTCATCAGCGTGTAGTAGTTGGGGTAGGAGAGGCTAGGGAAGTCGGGGGTCATGTAGTCCACCTTCACTCCCATGCCGATGATGTCCCGAAAGCCCGGCAGGGACTCCAGCTCCGCATCGTCGATGTAATCGAAGCGGAAACCGTCGAGGAGGAAAAGCAACAGCTTGCGGCGGGCAGAGGCGACAGCGAGGAGGACGACGAAGACGAAGATCGCGCGGATCCCCATGGCGGGCTGAGCGGCGAGGGCTGTACGGCGGGGCCGGACCTGGCACCGCTCTCTTCCACCCGCTTTAAAGCTACAGCCGCGCGTTAATTGCGAACGGGTGATGGGCTGCCGGGCCGCTGTGTGGGCGGGGGGTCAGCGAGCGGAGCACCGCCAGGGACGGTCCTCGGCGTGCTGAGGGATTAAGCAGCTCCTCGTGCTTTAATAGGAGAAGCCAGCCTTCGGCCTTGAGAACGCAGCGTTTTGCTTGGCTGTCGGTACCGCTGTTAGGGTAAGAGCTGGGCGGTGCCAAGTTTCACATTAATGAAGAGTTGTTTGCGCCTTGGTCGCAGGGTCCTCCTCCCGTCAGCGCAGAAGTTCCGATGTCTCCGCATCCCGGCTTTCCCGCAGCGCAGGACGTTGCCTCCCATTAACCCCACTCACGTCGGGCCAAGCCCTGCTGGATGAGCAGCACAGCCTCCAGCCTCCCTCGCAGCCTGCCTCCCCTTTGCCCTGCTCTGAACCGCCCGCACCTGTGCAAGGGCTGAGCACAAAGCACCGGGTGGCGGCACCCCGAGCCAGGGCAAGGTTCTTCACATTTCTTCACTCAGCATTTACAGCTGTTACCATCTTGGCAACTTTAGGCCTCTCTGTATTTTCGTTTATCTCATCTTGCCTGGCTTTACTTTTGTCCATCTCTTGGCAAAACAGCAGCACTTAGCACAACTGTGCCAGACCCATGCAACCACATTGCAGCCCAGGTCAGACAGCAGCTCTGGGGCTGCCAGCACATTCCATGTCTAGGAGAAGGACAGAGAGGCACACGTATCGCTGCCACCAGGCCTGCTCTGCTGGGATGACAGCAGGTCCTGTGCCCCAGCCCTCTCCTGGAGCAGACAGTGCCAAGGCCAGCAAGGCACAGCACCTTACTCCAGCCAGGGCTACTGGGCTCCCAGACTTCCTGCAGCTCAGGGCCAGACCCTCTCTGAAGCAGGCTACCTATGAAAACACCACCTACTTAGGCTTTTCCTCGTGCACAAGAATCTTCCAATTTGTCAGGCTGAGAGAGATGCCACAGCTCTCCAGATGTATGAGCACTCCAGTGAAACACAGCACAGCCAGCCCCAAGTGCCAGGCACAAGTAGCTTGGCATGCTGCAAGTAAACACATGATTCAAAAGCTGGGTTTTACCTTGGCATCTGTTTTGACTTGTTGCATACTCTTCTGTCCTTCATTTAGGTTTTTCTTCCTCTCCTAACACTCAATAGTGAGGACTGTGGTTTGTTTTAACCAAGGCAGCAGCTAGGAATGGAAGGAAAGCACACATGCTGTGCAACAGAATAGCAAAGCTGCAGGCTGCGTGAGAGGGGCAGCCGAGCTGTGAGCGCCCCAGTCTGTGCAAGGCTGCTGCTGCTGCTGCTACCACAACTGCCCAGGGGGGGGCTGCAGCTGCGTGCTGGGCCAGAGGGTGATGTGACAGCCCAGGCAGGGTGGCACCTGCTGCCTGTCACCTGCACCTCCAAGAATGGCCAGGTCTCGGCACAGACAGAGGGCCCAGCAGAGACAGTGCTCAGGGACAGGACTCCTGCTAGTGCTCACTGCGGGATGTCACTATGGCAAAGAGCATGGGCTCAAAGCCACCCAAGTGATCACTTCCTATGTGCATACGAAAGGTGAATGAACTCTTAAAAATGTCCAGAAGCGGGAGGCACTTGTGATTATGCATTGTTAGCAGGATGAGCATGTTCATGTTGATGTCCTAGCTTGCCCTCTGGGCTTGCCAGGGGGAATTGGCAGAAGCTGCAGCTGCTGCTCATCAGGGGTGGGATAATTAAGGACAATAATCAGATAATCAAGTTGGACTAACCTTGAAATGGTGACCTGATGTTTGAGGTGGCAAGGCTGAGAAGCTGGGCCTCCATCACAAGATGCCACGAAGTGATGTCTTTATATTATCTCCCAGCACTAAAGAAATAAAGTCTTCCTTTCAAGAGAGTTGCAAGCTGCTGATTGAGAGTTCCCAAGGGAAAGCGCTACCTGAGGAATGCTTGGTGCAAAGTGCCACAATCTGAGCTCTGTTCAGAGAGACAGAAATTCACAGGTCTCCACTCACAGATAGCAGCAGCATGAGGCCTGAGAGGGGTTAAAGGCACAGTGAGCCATGTAACCATGATGCCTCACAATGCCAAATTGTGTTCTGACAGACAATCCCCCTGAAGAATGGGACGCAGGCCAAGCAGTCTCACTTGGCAGAGACAGACCCCAACAATGCATTTCATCCCTGCCAAGCAATGTTGATTTGCTTTGGTTCGCATTCATTTGTAAGCACCCTGTCTGCACAAAGCCCCAGATGTCCTGGGAGACTCCAGCACAATAATATTTTGATACAAACGCTCTTACAAAAGCTATCAGAGCCTGAGCTGGAGTCCAAGGACAACAGTTTACACAAGTTAGCAGCGATGCCATGTCTTGGAAGAAGCATGAATAAAGACAATCCCTAAGCCCAGTTTGTGCACAAGGAGATACCCCACTGATCACAACTGTTTGGGATGAGATCCTCAGCCAGTTGGAAATCCTCTTGGCCAAAAGCAAGTTTCCGTTTTTGGAAAACTGCCTCCAGTGCCCTTGGATGGCTTATTTCATTCTGTCCTGCAGTGGTGGAATTGGAAGCTCCTGAAAGTTAAATACTAGAGAATCTAAAGTGGGAATTTGTCTTCCTTACTTCTCTGGAGGAAAGATAAGATGGTATAACTCGTCTGGTTGTCATCTTGGATCTTGTTCTTCCATACAGCAGCGGTTAAACACTTTGGCCAACGTAGCCTGACTTACTGGTTTGGTTGCATTTTCCCTCATTAGATAAGAAAGTATAGCCACCTTGATGGGAATAGCATGGTGCTTGTGTTCCTTTGAAGAAGAGGAAGTCTGTACCCATCTGAAGTTTGAAGGTCATCCAAGCTGGGCTTGGTACCTCCAGTGAAGGGGCACCCATAGCCTCTCTGGGCAACACATTCCAGAGCCTCACCAGCCTCTGAATGAAAAATTTTCACCAAACATCTTACCTAAATCTCCCTCCTTTCATTTAAAACCATTTACACTTCCAGTATCTATCAAATATTTCTAACCTATGCCCCTGCAGCATTATTATGGGCTTCTGTCAGTGTCAGGTATCATTTGAGGAGCAGCTCTGAAAGATGAAAGTGTTAGCTTGAAGTTTAACAATCTGAGAAACATCTCATGGTAGCCAAATGTAGGCCCATTTCAGTAAAGTATTAACGTTTCAGACTTTCCCACTAAATAAGTGGTAATCTGAGAGGCCAAATATTTGGTAAGTCAGTGATGATCTTCCACTTTCCAAGAATAAAGTGATATTCCATGTTTGAACATTCTGGTATCCTTCTACACTGGGTGCAAAAGAGACGGTGTTGGCTTGTGCTTAGTATAGATACAAAGCAAATTATCCAGGACTAGCATAAATATATGTGTGTGTGTGTGTCTGTGTGTGTATTTTCATTTGGCATCTTTTATAGCGTTGAGGTTATAGAGTTCAGCAACAATTTCTGTCATCAGCACTTACTTAAAAGTCATGGGAGTTTGGATCTCAGCATGCCAAAGAAGAAGAAGGGCCATTATTCTGACGGTAGGTATTGAAACCAGCCTGGTGGTAGTCATATTTTTGTCCCAAAGGCTGATCTCTGCCCAGTTGCCTCTGCTATCAAACAAGTTGCTGCCCCTAGCTGCCATTGCTTTTGCTGTGTGCCACTTCACTACAGTTGTTTTGGCTTTACATTTTTGATGGCTTCAGTCCCGGGTGTTGGTTCCTGGAGGTTGAAGGTGTTACTGGAAGGCAGGTTAAAGGCTTGTCTTGCAGCACAGTGGGTTCCAGTGTCTTATTGGACTGCCTGGTGAATCACCTTCAGAGAATTCACCCTGCCAAGAAGAGCCATCAGTTTTGCAACAGGTCTGCGTTTGCAGTAGAACGATATTTGCATGGCAGCTGCTTCCCAGCTATGGGATTTTCTCTATCAGCAAGTTACGACTTCTCAGATAAGGCTGGATCTGCACAAGGTTTCCTTACAGGTAAGATCTGTCCCTATCCCACCAGCAGTAACATTCCTTTCTGCAAGAGGGCAAGGTCTTATCTTCACATCAGGTGAATGCCCTCACTTGCTGAATGCTCCGGTTAAAGAATCTTGGCCTTGCTTATGGCTAAGTTGTTCCCTTGAACTTTTTTTTTTTCCTGCACAAATACAGCATTTCTGCTGCCTGGCTGATGGAAAAATAGCAGAAGAGCATCCCTCTGCATTGACTCAGGGCCTTCTCTTCACAGAAAGGTTCATCTGGCCCTGAATTCATTCCCACCTCATTTCTCTGGAGCCCATCACCACATGCCCCCTGAACTTCCACCTCTCCTGGCTCCAGACACACAGGCTGTTCCTGCTGTACCAGCTCCCTGGGGCAGGTTCTCTTCTTCATGTTTGTAAAAGCATGCAGCACGTTTTGTTTTTGCACCCAACATCGTGGCAGCAAAAACAAACCAGCCAATCTTCTGTCATTCCCATTTTCTGGGGATGGACGAGCTATAGTAACCTCCAGCACCAGCAGCCCCGTGCTTCCCCTTCTCAATCAGGATTTATTTCCCTTGGCATGGCCAACACGCCATTGATTTTCAAGGGCGAAAGTAGGTGGCAAAGTAATTAGCTCTTTCAAGGAAGTTTGGAGGTGATGGAAAACAACCCCATAATATGTGAGCACGGAGTGTGGCTGTCCGGCTGCCAGCCAAAGAAGCAATAAATCACCCCCTGAATGCCTGCCACAGGCACCGGATCACCACAGAGACGCTATTTTTCTTTCACTGCGACCGCCCATGTTGCTAATGCACTTAGCAGGTGCAAGAAACATTTGAAAATCAGTATCTTTTTCCAAAAAATAAGGTTAGGGGCCCATTGCTCTGCCTGTTTGGATTTCGGCTTATTTCACCCAAGTCCTACTCAGCTGCAGGTCCCCACTTGGGCTATTTCCAGCACTGCTGGCAGGGATTTTGGAGGGGCTTTCACGGGTCTGTCTTAATCCTGCACAGCTCAGGTCTCTCTGATGCAGCTACCTCTCAGCGAGGTCTAGTCACCATTCCACGACAGCCGCCTCCACCCTTGGGACACCAAGGAGGTGAGCTGGTGAAAG